ACGATCAATGACGTGGGGACTGGTCTCGAAAATATTGGGGAAAAGCAGGTTGAGCAGATGGACCATCGCATCCTCGCAACCAAGACCGATAACACCGAGTGCGACGTGCTTAACTGCGCTAGCAGCGGTCTGTCGGTGAACTTGATCACGGTCGACAAGAGCATCCTCAAGTAGTGGCGTGACAGCATAGACATAATCCTTGCCCATCTCGCCAATGTACTCGAACAAGAAGGACAAAGCCTTGAGCACACCGTTCTGCACGTTGAGATCGGGCACCCGGTACTCGTTCATCAGTGCTGGAAGCACAGTGAATGGAGCACAAGTTTCGGCCACGATACCGATGGCGACAGCTGTGCAAACACGCGACTGACGCTCCTGCACTCGCAAGTTGCCCAGAAGAGCAGCCAGGACATCCTGAGGACCAATGGCCTTGGCAATGAAACCGAATGTGTTGTTGGCCGCTCGGCGAATTCCCTTCTTGTGGGCCTTAAGCATATCCATAAGCTCAAAGCAGATACGCATCCATTCACGGGCGTTCACAGACTCGGGACCGCGGTCGGCAATACGACCGACGAGATCAATTGTGTTCTCCTGCACCTTTTCGTGACGGTTGCGCAGAATGGGTGTAAGACGAGGAAGAAGATCGCGAATGGGTGGCTGCATCTGGGTGATACCGACCACGGTGACGATGGCACGCAAAGCACCCAGGATCGAGCCAAGAACCTCGGGATATTCTTCACCCAGATATTCGTAGAGCACAATACCAAGCTTGCCCATGAGAGCTTCCTCGTCACACTGCTTCATCACCAACGCAATGCGGGAGATAAGATCGGCCGCCTGTTGTCGAACAGTCGGGGACTTGTTGTTCAGACGCCAGAGAATAGTACTAACGATCTGAGGAATATAGGTCTTGCATCGTGTGCCAAGCGCATTGACCACCGTACCGAATCCATTAAGGATGACAAGGTCTTCGATGCTTTGTTCCTGGAAGGAGAAGAGGACACCATCAATGAGACGTTCTTCCAGTCTCTCAGAAATGTCAGCGGCTCCCAGGGATGCAATTAATTTCTCGACGGTTTCCACAGTCATCTTGCGATATGGCTCGCTTTCGTCCTTCAAGTTGTTGACGACGCGGTCGAGAATCTCACCGACACCCACTTTCTGGCCCAGGTCCACTGTGGTATCGACTACCTGGCGGTAGTTTCGTCGATCGAGCGCCATACGTCGCATCCAGAAGCCCTTGAAAAACTCCGCCAAGACTTTGTCCTTCAAGTACGAGGCAGTCACACCTGGAGTGCTTGCACATTGAGAAACCACTTTCAATACGACTTTCTTCATTTCTTCATCTGGGGAAGCGAATTCTCGGATGAGGATCTCCATGATTTGACTGGTGTAATAGTTGGCGTACTCTTCGTCCATAAGAGGAATGATATAGCCGACAGCCTTAAGGAAGGCAGAGAGACCCTTGCCACGCTGCTTGCGGGCGCCGGTCCAAAGAGGGCTCAGGATATCATCGAAACTTTCGATACCATATGGGTTCGCAGCCTCGGCCAAAGAGGCCAGGGATAGAGCAGTGACAGTCCGGACCTTAGCTTGTTCATCGCTAAGGTTATCTGAAACGCATCCGACCAGATCCTTGAGATGAGGGAGAATAGCGCAACCCATGAGAATAGGGATATGTTGGACAATCTTGACACCAGTGTGTCGGGCTTGCCATGACTTCTTACTGCGGCAGACAGCGCGGAGGAAAGGGAGGAGGGCGGGAATACCGAGGGCAGAGGCCACAACGGCAAAAGCGCGTGCTGTCGTGTTTCGCACATATTCATCAGCGTGGTCAATATCAGGACGCATAGTACTGATCATCGTAGCAAGACCGGCGGCCTTGGCAAGGTTCGAGATAATCTCTCGGCCTTCAACACGAGCATAGTAGTCTTGATCAATAAGCAGTGGTTCGATAACGACCAAGATCTTATGAACATAGGGACGGACTAGATCATCCAGTTTGTAGAGGATTCTGTCGATGACCTTCACCAGCAAATGGCGCTCCTGGTCTTCCAGGGTCCTTTCCATGAGCAGGGGGAGAATTTGATTGAAAAGGGCCCCAGGACCAAAGTCTCGGGCATTGTCTGTGATTTGACGCAGAGCGGTCTTGCGCATAGGCGGAGTACCGTTCTTGATCTTTAGAAGCAATCTCATAATCTTTCGCTCCTTCATTTCTTCCACAGTCATGCTGCTTTCATCACCATCCTCCATGAGCTTACCGAAGTAGGCCATGTCCTCTGCCTTGAAGAATTGAAGTTCACCCACACCGGGGATATCAGTTGGAAGATCTTTTCCTACAGACTGAACACTTTCTGGCTCTTGCATCATGAACCCTCCGACACCACCAGCGCTAGCCATGGGTGCTGGGGTGGCTGCGAGTCTGCGAGCGTGGGTTCTGATAGGTTCATATCCAGGGGGAGGGTCAAGGATCTTATAGCCATCAGCCTCACCGGGGAGCATGATATCGAGCTCCTCATCGGACCAACCAACAACCTGACCGGGGACAACGGCCACAGGTGTAGCCGCACCTGCAGATGGATGCATGGGAGTGGCGAGTCCTTGATTTCCAACGGGTGTCGCAGCTGTGAGGGATGGCGCTAGATCCCATCTCGATCGGCCGGTTTTGGGTGCTTCTGTGGGAGCAGGTGCTTGATCGAAACGTGATTTTTTGCCGGGTTCGCCAGCAGGCTCATCAATAGTACCCCATCGGTTCTTTCGCTTTCTTTCGGTAGCCACTGCAACGGTGGAACCCGCCTCGGCGTTCTCTTTATCATGTTCCACCCTCTTCAAGGTGGCCACGTGCTCTGTCGCGTCTTCGCCCTTCTCGCGCTTCTCTGCAATCAGCTTTTGAACGCGTTCTTCTTCTCTTTCCATCTCGCGGATGGCCATGACTTCACGGTAGGTTTGGCTTTCTCCTTCAACATTCGCATGGGCATTGGCAGCGAAGGGATCGGCGCGCGTCGGAGTTAGGGCGCCACGGTTGAATCGGCGCTTTTGGTAGTCTGTTTCGCGGTCTGCGATTCGCGCGGCCTTTTCGCGGCCTAGCAAAATGTCCTCTTCCTCGACGCCGGTTCCTCGCGCCATCTCATCGATCTGGCTTCTGGTAGCAGTGTATTGGCCAACCAACTTATGTCCTCCATTCACGTCTTCCATTTCTTCATCACCATCGCCATCGACGGCGATCGAAGTATCATATTTCGAAAGCATATCCGCTCCATCGCGTTCGTACAAAAAGGTGTCAAAGGATTCTGTCAGGGAAGCTTTGGTCGAATTATCCGTACGTTGAGAAGATTGATCAAAGGTTTTGGAGCCTTTTTTAGCACTGGAAGCAGCATTGCGCTCGGCCTGGAGCCGTCGAACGGCCTCGATATCGGCTATAGCGGGGATCAGTATGGGACCAGGCGGGAGAGCTTGCGAAAACTTACCGTCAGACATTGTGACGAGGTGTAAAAGTCGTAAGGATATGAGTGAGCCTGTATTACCGCAAAAGGGAACACCGCAGCTACATCCGGATTGAAAACCGCTGGAACGGTCACAATAATGGTAGTTGAGGATGCTGTGTTGCTAGCCGCCTCGATGAAAAAGGTCGTGATTAGGCTGCACGTGATTAGACACATTAGCTTCTTGAAGGTTGGGATTTGCCCCAGGCACGTGATTCGTGACATAATCAACCTTTTGGACCGTGCTAGGCGGTCAGTGGTAGCGGGTGGTCAATGACGTCCGGGTATCAATGTGAAAAGGAATAGTTGTATGCCAGGAGAGGAAGGAATTATGGATTGAACAGCTTCAAGACTGGAGTAGGAGATGATGCAAAGATTGGAGTGGGAGGTGATAGATATTCCTAGAAATGTGAGCCCCACAACACATTTTCCGTTTGTATAGGACCAAACCTCCCTGTGAGCTACATGTGTCAACCACTACTCCGTACCAATCGTTATCTAGGAAACTAATATTTCTACCTAGTATTGTCATCCTAGGTTGTTTAATATATAATGCTTTATACTTGGTCAAATCTCACTGTACTTATTAGATTAAAAATATATGTATTGCTACCTAATTTCTACTCAAACCTGTGGCGTTGCGAGGGCGCTTATGGTCTATTTATGTCATACACCAGTGTATCAGGGATATTAAAGGTCTGCACGGCTCTAGTGCTCATGTGCACTTGAAATTAATTGTCTAATTTAGGAATAAAGTTCTTAATATAACTGGGGAGAAGAACAAGAAACTCTCCGATGGCCAATGACAGATCTAGGTTATAGTAGATGCTTCAGATAAGCGCCTGCAGCATTCCAAGATTTGGATGGACTTGATCAATATGCCTTCCAAGGCTGACTTGGTAATATACTACTACATTGGCAAAATCTTACCTATATTCTAATCTTCCAAGATTGTCCAACGTCAAAGCAACAGTATGTGGCTGGCCGGTAACCAACAACGGTGGCTAGTGTAACCTACAAAGCCCTGTGGTTACATCCTTTCCATTCTAACCAACACAAAATTGAAAGCTCATTTCCCATCTCTCCAGCAACCTTTCAAGATGGGTGGGTTTGACAACAAAGAAGCCAATTTTAGCACGCCGTTTGAGCCCGCTGGCATCCGCAGTCAGCAGACTCGGATAAGTTCCAAGGTATACTATGTAGACAACACAGTAGTGCCAATTCAGATGGAAGCCATCATTGGTCTCCTCAAAGGTTCATTGAGCCAGAATCCACTACGCTTGGTTCAATTCAGTTTACGCCGAGAGCCCAGGTTACCTGTGCGGTATATCTCAAACTCCGAACATGTCCTTTGTTACATATTAGAGTAGCCTTGCGAACTTTCCATTAAATGGGATAAATCTCCCTGTTTGTTGGTTTTATCCTTGTCATAATACCCTAGTTCATCCCCACAGCCCAGAATTAGATTTGCTCAAGCAAATCGTCTACATCTTATAGATCCATAATCATCCGGTCACCATGATGCTCTTCTTAGTGCTGTCATTGCTCCTCTTAGCAAAAAATGTGAAAGCAACCTTTGATATTCCTCATCCTCTTTCTATTGCCTCCTCATTCTCCCACATCTACCACCAACTTGACAATATCAACATTGGGAATTGCTCTCTCGCAAATGTATCTCTCCCATTGAACGCGACAGATTCCCCACTTCCAGTCCCATCCACAAACCTAACTCTCAAATACGTTGCATTGGGTCGAGGAACACAGAACTACACCTGTCCATCAGATGCGTCCTCAGATTCCAAAACCACCACCAAGCCCAGAGCCATAGGTGCTGCCGCCACACTCTTTGACGCCTCTTGCATTGCATCGTCATCTCTAGCTCTCCTCCACGAAGTCCCCGCAATTATCAGCGCCACTCCTATTGGATCTCTCGCGTTCATGGCAACCCTTGTGGCCCAGGGCACGAGAAGTACCAATCTCATCATTGGGGAGCACCACTTCAACGCTGATGGAGACCCGGTTTTCGACATGGCACTGAGTGGCTCCAAGCTCTGGATTGCTACTAATAAAATAGCCGCTACCCCAGCTCCCAACTCAACATCAAAATCATCCGGCGATGTTCCGTGGCTTAAGCTAGGACACAAGAAGGGGGACGGTATTCAGGTAAGCTCATGTTATCTAACCACCAGACAACCAGATCTGGAGCATACATATCTGACTGAATTATTCTTTATAGGAAGTCTACCGAGTTGTGACGTCTCAAGGTGACCCGCCGTCTACGTGTGCTGGTCAAAACACAACGATTCAAGTTGATTATGCTGCAGAGTATTGGTTCTACGGGTGATAGAGACGTCTTGAGTTCTTTTTTGAGCTATATGGGGGATCTTTTGGTTTTTACAAGCGATATATACGACCGCGAGAGCAAGCCTTTCTAATATATGTATCTAGGACTGTGTGGAAAATGCAGTTCCCGAATTATGTTGGGATTTAACGAATGGAATAGTCTATATAAGGAACACACACTTTAATAAGGAAGACACTCGTGAATAATTGAGGTAGCATTCATAATCTTCTATTTGTTGTTTGTCAATATACTTCGAACAACAAGCCCTAGTCTCTCCACCCCCTCAACTAGCCGCCCTTCATCCTCCCACATGAAACAAAGTCTCAGCCTGCGATGCAAATCTCCTGGAGCATTGCCTCCTGGAACAGCAAATGTCTCACCGCCACCCAACACCAAATTTTGCGTCTCCAGTGCTTCCTGACACACCTGAGTCGCGGTCAATGCGGCCGGAAGCCGAACCCAGATGTAGTATCCCCCCACAACTGGACTACTCTCCGGATCAGGAGTAAACGAGACACCAAGATGACCAAGATGTGTTTTGATCGCTGATGACAGAATGCAATGTCTTCTCTGTCCTTCGGGGACTAGGATATCGGTAATGTATCGAGGCAAAAAGTTATCCTCAAGCAGCTCATTGATGAAAGTCGACGTTAGTTGCGAAGGAGCACCACCAGAGCGTGTAGAACCACTAAACGTTCAGCTTTTGGAATTCTGAATAAGAATGAAGAGATGAAGACTCACGCTTGAGAAAGACCATAAATGAAATCTTTGGTCCCTTCAGCCCATCCAACTCGACATCCCGGACCAATAAGCTTACTGAATGATCCATTGCTCATGACATTGCCGAATCGATCTGCTGGACCACCATCGATTACCCGATCTATATCCACGAGACGCTGACGCGGAACCGGGTTGGTGGGATGTGTCGCGCCCCAACTGAGGAAATCATATACATCGTCAGCGACGACGAGAGCATCGTACTTCCGCGCTACTCTGACGAGTGCCTCGCGCCGCGATTGAGACATCGTCGTCCCCGACGGATTTGAGAAGCTCGGAACACAATAGATGACATGCTTGTATGTCTTTCTATACGGCCTGTCGGGCTTGTATGTCTTCTTCTGTTTCTATTAGCATGGGTTATACCAAGAACCAGGCTAGCATTAAAGAGCGCACACATACCCGACCATATTGACAATCTAGATCTCCACGGTCAAATGCATCCAAAGCAATTTCAAGTGCAGCAACATCCATCCCCTCCTCATCCTCGGGTATCCCTCGCATCCGACCACTGAACCCAGCATCTTCGAATACCCGAAAGACAAGATAATATGTTGGCTCCACGAGCCATACAATCTGTGTCTGCGCTGGATCCGTGAATACCTGCAATACGCATGCTAGATTCTGGCTGGCACCGCCAGTTATGCATATCCGCTCTGCGCAGATGGGTTGCGCAGGTATATAGGATCGGGATAGCCACTCGGCTATATTTTTTCTCAAAGGGAAATAGCCTTCGTCCGGGCCATAGGCAAATCCTTCAGTGAATATGGTTTTGTTGGATAGGGCATTGTTAGCTGCTTGTTTAAGGCGTTCCACTGGAAGCATGGCTGTTGCAGGCCATCCCGTGAAAAGATCTATTTGAGTCGTAGGCGCCATTTCTGATGAAGCTAATTATACAGATATCTCGAGGAAAATCTACTTGCTCTTATACTTGGGGCTTCAAAGATTTGGACCATTCTTGCTTTGGGAATATAAGCGATCTAGCCAATCACATTGGACGCTCGCTATCGTTTTCCCCAGACAAAATGGACAATTGCTCATACGAAAGATTCTATTACTTGATTTCTTCTCTCTTGTCTATTCTACTCGCCATATATTGTTCAAAGTGAAACGGCGCTCTTGATCGTATTGCTAGATAATGAAAACCCTTGAACACCCGCAAAGAAAGTCACCCTTACGACTGAGATTAATAATGGGCCAGCGCCAGGACGATGCAAACGCAAAGAATCAAATGTCACCAGGCACGATGTAAATCCAGCCGCTCAAATCTCAAGGGGCGGGATTGCACTTCATGCAGAAAACGCCGATGTATGCCCCCACCCGCCAACGCAAGCCATCTCCCATTTCAAACATACCATGGACCAGCTCTAGCTGAGGAGCTGGGAATTTATACGTTGTCATCCTCGTAGACAAAGTTGATGTCGCGGATGCGACGGCGGTTGGTGGCAATGAACTCCTGGTCACCGGCGGGTCGCTCATTGCGATTGTTCGCAGTAAGCATGCTCTGAAGGCTCATGCAGACGCTTTCCACTGTCTGCACTGGTGACCAACCGGCGGAACCTAGGAGGTCAAGGCAGATAATGCCATTGCTGTAGATGTGGGGATGCATTGGGATTGTGCGCGGCGTGCCGGTGGAGGCGGGACATTGGATGAATTGGACCTCTGGGGGTTCTAGAATGATTGTTAAACCCCATAATGATCTGATAAAAAGACGAGACAGAGACAAACAACAAACACGGTGGAATGGAGCCACTGGGGAGACGATAGAGACAGAGGTTACCGAGAAGATACCACTCACCAATAGGATACTTGTTACTGAAGGTAAACTTCAGGCGATAAGTCTGATCTAGGTAAAGTGGGTTCTGGTCAAGGATCTTGATGTCCATTTGCCATTCCTCCAGATTGTCACATTTCACGATTGTAATTCCCGGCGGGAGATGCTCTTGCATCTAGGTCAAAATGTCAGAGAAACATGTTCACATAATGAACAATATGCAAGGGTGCGCCATGATATGCTCTCAAACCGTTGCCACCGGGACAAAGGCGATAAGGACGGGAGGGGAATTTGTACCTTAACGAGCTCCTATAAGTCATATAGAGTTAGCAAGATAAGCATTCTAGTAAACTTCAGATTAAAACTACAACTCACCTTGCTCAGACGCTTTGTAGCGAACATTGCTGCGATGGTGGAAAGAGAAGATTTAGATGTTTGAGCTCTGGTGGAGAAGGAGGGGCGGTGTCTCGATGTGGAGCAGGGCGGATGTATGACGTGAAGACGGAAAAGTGAGGAGCTTCTCAACAATGAGATTGATCTGAAGAATTAATCTAACGTGAAAAGAGCAGAGATCTTGTTTGAAAGATGATGTTCTAAAGCTAGCCTTACAAGTGGGGAGATTATATATTGATACACGTGATATCAACACCTGACTATATTCCTCGGGTCACATCCTACTTTCATACTAATGAACTACTCCCTGTCTAAAATAATTTTGGTTTTTACCTCCTTACTCAACTAGCTACGAGAGAAATGCCACAAACTCGTGTGCTCACATCCGAGCACGTGTCTCTGGACTATGGGTGCTCAGACTGGCGGACCATGAGCCAACGAGCCGCAGATCTGTACAGTACTGGTACCAAGCTTTGGACGAGAGAGGATCTCAAAGACATAGAAAGACAATTGGGCCAATCCTATACAATGGCTCGATTCTCCGTCCGCCGAATCGATGGAAGCATAGTCCAAATATCAAATCCTATGTTCCAAATACAGAATCCTATCTGGTACGGGGGTATTCTGACCCTGTTTCAGCCGAAATCTAAGTTCTCTTAGGAAACCTCATGTCAAGTACCAAGAATATTGGCAACTTGTGAAGACTCAACCCAACGGCCCGACCGAAACCTACCATTGCTCCTACCTGGTAGATTGGAGCAATCGGACTGCACGAGACTTTCGGGAGCTTATAGCGCGGCCTTCACAAGTCTTTGACGAGAAAGCCTACTTGTGGCGAAATAGCACAACTTGCAAGCTATTGACAGCTTTAGTACAAGACTTACTTGGTACAAATACCGTGAAGAAAGTTCTATGTTTCGGGCTCGGTGACTTCTGCCGTACCGCCCCTGAATGGCTAAGGAAGCAGCACGACTCTTGGGATGAGACTATGGAGGTGGAGAACGTGATGGACTGTATGATCCAGCATTCGATGGCTCTCACTATCGCTCAAATCTGTTGCGATGGAACGATGCTATTATATGCCCAGGACCCAGATTATACAAGCGTTGCAGAAGATATACTGACCAAGAAGAACTTCAAAATCATTGGACATCATGGTGCAGGAGGATTCGCAGAAATCGATGAAGAATCGATTGTGATCTCAGCATTTGCTGCTGCCCCTGTCAAGCAGATAATCGCTGATCTTGCTCGACCTGCGCTCATTCTTTCCACTGGCTTTGAGGTCTTCAACCGCAATGAGTGAGATCGCTTTCTTTGGATTTGAAATATTGCTAATCTGGACATTCTGCAGAAAGCCATTAGCAGATGCCGAATCTCCTAGAACCAGACATATGTGGCTTGAGTATGATGCCTGTAGCCTTCCAACCTATTCTGATGATGTTGAGATATGCGGTTCATTGAAAGGATTACATTTATATCGTAGACGCCAACAACCCTTGGATTCGCAAGGAGCCTGAGTTTACAATTTATTACAACTAGGGTTATTTGGAGGTTGGTAATTCTCTTGTTAACCTCAGTACTTTTATTTTATTTTTCTCTCAGGCTATATCAAATAAGAAAAACAAGCATTGCTTGAAAGTATGTTCACTCTGCTTATTGACTATGAAAAATGGGAATCACAGAATTATATCCAAGGAACCGCCAGGCACAAAGAGAAAAACAGGGCGGGAACGGCATAAGAACAGCGTATGAACAAGACGTAAGATATGGAAGCGACACAAAGCAGGGGAAACAATTTAAGAAGAACCAGCCTTTTCGCGAGCTTCACGTTCAACCTTCTCCCGCTCCTCAGCCTCCTTCTGCTCGCGAACCTTAGCCAGAACAACTTCACGGAAAATAGCACCACGAGCAGCGCTTGCCAGACTCTTCTTCTTTGCATGACCAGGGCTGGCAGGGCTGGTAGGGCTGGCAGAACTGGCATCACCGTCTGACACTGGTGGTTCAGCCACACTTGACTCTTCGGTTTGGGCGCCCATGTCCATGGGGCTGGGGATATCCTCTCCGTCCTCATCCTCGTGCATCTTGAGTGACTCGATACGGTTGGCGAGCTTGACGATCTCGATTCCGCGGCGGAGACGGGCACGTGCAATGTAGGTGCGGATTTCGGGCAGCAAGTCGCGGTCGCTCGCAGTCTTTCCAGTCAGCCATTCGTGCTTCAGGGCTTCCTCGGAGGTAACTCGTTTGCTGGGGTCCGCATTCAAAAGAGAGAGAATGAAATCTTTTGCGTCCTGGGACACATCACGCCAGTATCGCTCGTGGAAGATGATACGGCCTGTGCGGCATTCTTCGATGAGATCGGTCAGGTTCTCGGCTCGGAAGGGCGAGTAGCCACACAGCAGGGTGTAGGTGATGACACCGAGCGACCACATATCGACAGCCTTGCCGTGGCCCTGCTTGAGCATGACCTCGGGAGCAGCATATCCAAAGGAGCCGGCCATGCTGGTCAGTACCTCAGAGGGGTCGTGCAGCATCTTCGCGATACCGAAATCTGCCAAAACCAATTGAGAGTCGGCAGCGCGGGTGAGGTAGAGGAGGTTCTCGGGTTTCAAGTCTTTGTAAAGGTCAATTACGCGTAAACAGCTAGTACTTCAGGAGACCGACCTCGGTGAACGATGTTGCGCTTGTGTAGATAGTTGACGGCATCAAGCACCTGGCGGATGGTCTGCGACGCATCCTTCTCAGTGAACTTTCCATAGTCGCAGATCCGGTCGAACAACTCGCCACCGGTGGCTAGCTGTGTGACGATATAGAATTTGTCCTACATCTGGGGTTAGAGCTTCACAACGATAAGACTAACACATAGATGTGCTCACCTTAGATTCGAACCAGTCGACGAACGAGACAATGTGGGGATGTTGGAGGGATTGCAGCATCTCAAGCTCATCGTAGACCATGTTCTCATTGCCACGGACATTTTTCTTGAGGATTATCTTGATCGCAACCTTCTGTCCGTCGGTGGCATCCGCCTCGCGAACAATTCCGTATGTGCCTGCACCCAGGGTCCGTCCGAATCTATAGAGAGCTCTACAGCAAAAAGACCGGTCAGCGAATACAGGGCAAGAGGGCTAGGATAAGGCTGTACTTCTTTTCGTAGCTCTCTGGCTGTCCGGACAGCTTGTTGAGCATGTTTGCGACTGGAGAATTGATAGTTAGTAAATTGCGGGGCTCAGATGAAACGCGCAAACCAGATGACGCAAAAGACCCCTGGAGGAGCCGACCGAAGGGGAAGGGCATAGGAATTGCGACGCAGACCGTGACACAAAATGACAGCTAAAAGTCCTCCTAGCCCCCATATATTCCACACAGAGCTGACAGGATGGGTGTAAATCGCCATGGCAATTCCAAGTGAGGAGTCAGGTTGGGGACAAGGCTGACACGAGGCACGAGGCCGGACAATATTCGGACAATGCCAAATGACGAATCATTGCAAGATTGAATAGAGAACAAAAGTCCCATGAATATGAAATATCGACTCACAACTCATGATGTGGGGATGGGGCTGCAGATGCCCAAGGTCGTAGATGTGGTATGGGGCTCGAATGGGCACGATTCGTTAGGTAGCAACGTGAGGAAGAGAATTGATTCAAGAATTGAGGGGGTTTAAGGTCGAAAATTGAGTCCAACCTAGGGGAGAATGATCAGTGTGAGTGTCATATAGAAAACATATGCCAAGTTGGAGGGGTGACCATGCGCGGGGGTGGCTGAACGCAAGCAAAGTTGACATACCACACGCAGACAACTGTCAGAGACCGATGTTCAATGGCAATTCAGGAGATATTTTTTTTTACAAAAAAAAAGTAAGAAAAAGGGCTGAAGAGGGGGAAGATCAGTTCTAGACGCGATAAGAGGATTCGGGGCTGTAGGGTTTAGCGCCAAGCACAGCCACAACGGGAAATGTTACTGCCTCCAGATATATTAACATTGAAGGTATTAATAGTTACATATTAACAGTTACATACTAAAAGGAGATATCAAAAAGCAAGTAGACTCAGTATTAATTAAAGCTTTTGAATGTGTTGATACATGTCAAGGTACGAAGTATGTACATGCGAGAATCCACTCCTGATTTATGTCTAGTCACATGCAAGAATATACCCTTTTTTTTTTCTCGGAGTTATAGCACAAATAGACGCTTCAAGACTTATATATCTTTCATCATACTATGTATCAAATAATTCAAGGCATAGCACTAATTTGAACCCCAAGAAAATTAATATAAGAGTCCCTGGCATTCCCCACCAGTGCCTTGTGTGCCACAGCGTCACCAGACGTCATAGGCTTAGTTAGAGATATATAACAACAACCACGGACTTTCTTTTTTTTGGCTTATTATATTAAACTTGAGATTTACTATTCAACTTGAACTATCAATAATGATATCCCTCCTCTTCTTCCTTACCTTCCAGGTAATTCTACTTGGTGCTTGGGTCGCTGGTTATCTAGACCCATACCAGAAACAGCTTCAGGAGATGTTGCTAGACTATATGGGCGAGACAAAAGTGTCTTATGGACTGAAGAGTATGTTATATCAAAAAGAGAATGAAAGGAAAAAGAAAAAAGAAGTATACTAACCATATTTTACTTTATAGAAAGTCTGACTGGCAAGAAACTCACCGAGGACCAGAATCTAAGCAAGATTCAAGATCAACTTGGGAATCAATTGGGTGGCATATTCGGGAAAGGAGGTCTAGGAGAGGGTTTTGGTTCTATGTTGAGCAAAGGTCTTTAAGGGGATGAAGGACAAGAATGTCAAGGACCATTGGAATTGAGATTACTATCAAGATAAAGATCAAGGTTAAGAAACAAATCCAGCCTTGAAACACAAATTTTTCCATGTAACCTTCATTCAAGCGGTAATATACAAAAAATCATCGATGTCGTGATCTTTTGTACCAAACCGAGTGAGCGAAGGAGAAACGATGTTTTCATATACCAGATGGCATACTACTCCACCAAACCACCTAGATCCGCAATTTTGACGATCGAACACGTCTGGGACCATGGTAAAACCCATGATCCGAATTGTTGACCCAGGCAGTTTGAACATCCTCAATAAAAAAAAAAGGCTCCGATGTCATGCAACTGCATTTAGCACTTGTACGAACACTCAGCCACCGAAAAAGAACGAAAGAAAAGAACGAAAGAACGAAAGAACGAAAGAACGAAAGATCAAAAGATCAAAAGAAGATCAGAAGATCAAAAGAACGAAAGATCAACAGATCAAAAGATCATCGAAAGATGAAAATAACGAAAAACGAGTCAAAGGCAGCAATAGAATAAGCAGTAAAAGCTTAGTCCCGCTTCATCCATTCACGAGAACCATAACCAGTCTCGCCAAGCTCAGCCAAAGCAGTTTCGCAAAGTTTGTCGTAGTACTCAGCCCCCTTCCAGAAACTATGCTTCGACTGAATACCAATCTTCCAATCCTCTTGCCTGAGCCGCTTAATGCGCTGCTCCTTGGTCTCATTCCGAATAACATTTCCATATTCATCGATATTAGGGCCCTCAATCGCAGGAGGTTCCTTGGGTTCACCGGGCTTAGTCTTGACGGGAGAGAAAGTCCAGAAGGAGGCAGTGCGAGTCATTGCAGTGTTAGAACGATGAGCTTGCTGTAGTTCCGAAACATGTTTAATCTGCTGGCGAAGCTCGGTCATTTCCGCGGGAATATTCTCACGGAGCCACTTGATGGCACTGTTGAACTCATTGATCTGGGCCCGGCGCTCGGCGCTGATAGGCGCGGGGGAGGATCGCGGCGAGGGAGATTTGGTGGATTTCGGCACCGGCGAGCCTGCACGGCCGATGAACGTCGGTTTGATGGGGATTCTCTTTCTCATAACGGGGGAGGGCTTTGTCGAGCGCGGCGAGGGCGATTTGGTGGATTTCGGCACCGACGAACCTGCACGGCTGATGAACGGCGATTTGATGGGGATGCTCTTTCTCATCACGGGGGAAGGCGTCGAAGGAGTCGAGGGCGATTTGGTGGATTTCGGCACCGACGAGCCTGCACGGCTGATGAACGGCGATTTGATGGGGATGCTCTTTCTCATCACGGGGGAAGGCGTCGAGGGAGTCGAGGCCACAGGCGAAGGTTGGACGGGGCCTAGATGCTTAGGCCGCGGTGCTGGGGTTGGAGTGACCGGCTTCTTTGTGTTAGCATTCAGACATGCAGATGGGATTATCTTCAAAGGCAGCCGGGGCGGGCGAGCTCGAAAGGGTCGATTCACCTCAAACTTGGACGTCTCTTGCTTTGGACCTTCGCTGTTTACCATTGCAGGATTGTTGCACATGAATACCTCGCCGGAGGTCTTCCGGATGGCAAGCGGCGGTGGCATAAGCTCGCTACGCTTAACTGGATCCTCAAGTTCTCCCCGGACCTTGAACGGAGACAAACGCAGTGGTGGCTGACTTGGAATGCGAGGTTTTGCTGGCGCCTGGGTCACGAAAGGGTCGTTTTCACCCGCCAGCATAGAGTTATCAATCATCCGGGCAATGCTTCGGACAACAGATCCCCCGTTGGGAAGCCCATCTCTGGCGCTATTAAAGGAGACCAATTCGTTTCTCGTAGCTGTGCGAGCAGAAACTTCCTGTGGTGGAGGAGGGGGCTTGCGAGTCGGGGGTGGGATATGGAAAGCTGGGGGAGGAGCCCTGTAGTCGAGACGCGAGACTTCTCGAGCAGCAGGAGGTGGCGTGACACAAAAATCAGTGGTAAGAGACGAATTGGAAGATGAAGAAGCATAAGGGACAGGCATAGGAGGAGTGCAGACCAGGCTTGCATTATGAGCCGACAGATTTTCAACTGACAGAGCTTCAAAATTTGGACAAAGACCAGCGACAGCACGGTCCGGCAAAGGTGGGCTCCACGCGACAGTAGTCACGGATGACCGAGGAGATGAGCCAGGCGAATGGAGAAAAGTAACTGGGGAGTAGGTCTGGTTGGGATTCAGAGCTGGCAGCGGGACAGTGGCTGGCAAAGACTCATAAGCATTCTGAAACCGATCCATAGCATCAGTCAGAAGCGCGACTTTGACAGCCGAAAAGATGTGAGCTGCTCTTCCCATATACTCATATGAGGTGGCTGCATAATAGTGGAGATATGTCGCACGGATCGGATGGAGCTAATGTATACACCCGTTAGCTATCAGAGTATTAGATGAGATTTGTGAAATACAAACCGGATGAGACGCAGTGTCTATGAGCTGATTGCAACGCAAAGCACATTGTTTGTATTGCTGGTTGAAACATAGCCATTTCACATCGTGGAGGGCTCTCTTCCATTCATAGTGGTTCTTTGGAGGCGAGAAGACACCAAAGGGCAACGAGGCCTCTGATGGCTTTTCTGAGGTATTCAAAGATGAGTGGGAAGCCATTTTGGAAGCAGTGGGTACAAGTGATGGGGAAAAGAGATGAGGCACGAGATGGGATGTGAAGGAGGAAGAGAGGAGGAAGAAGAGAAGAGGAAGAAGGGAAGGCAGAAGTAGAAATGAAAGACTGGAGTGTAGCCCTCCCCAAAACGAGATTTGGGCACTTGAGGCACCAACCCAGAGAGAGTATGCTTGACAAGTCCAGTGCCTATCCTTCTATCTTGTTCATTCCCAAGACGATTTAGTCATACCTCGAAGGATATCTTTACGGACATCACAGTACCCATTTGCATCTACAAGGAAGCAGTGCCTACATCATCCTAGAAGATATGTGTAAATAAACATAATATTAGTTACTGGAGTTGTAGATAACTTGAACATCAATGATCCCACATAACTGCTTCTGACTAAGGATATTTGCCAGTAATAATATCCCACATGATCATAATGATCATCTAGACCTGCTCAGCAACAAGAGCACCATTCGGCTCATGTTTGATCCCGGCCCGTGACAATGCCTCACCAGTCGCCGAAAGTGACCCTTGGAAATCAGCCAGCAAACGATCGAGTTCTGCTGCCACCACGCCATCATCCATTCCTTCCATCAGACTCGCTGCATTCGGGGGATCGAGAGCCGGAAAAGGGATTGGTCCCTTATCTTCTGCCTGTGACACTGGGACCTCAGAGACATCGTGCCGTACATTTCGTACAGTTTCGAACACGGAAGTGTCAAACGCGGGAGATCCCGGTTCAGAGACTGGCCCCGAAGTCACCGAGGAAGCAGTGGGGGTTTGGGGAGTTGGAACGGCCGTTGGTAAAGCTGTCCTACTATCTTCAAAAGATGAACTGCTAGAGTGTCCCCTCCATACAGGGTGAGATTCTTCGTCCGGCCCAGGGCCATCGAGGATGCCGGATGCCTCATGTTCATTATAACCAGCTGATTCCACCATTGCGGGGAATTCCGTCTCGAAGAAATGACTGTGATGAAGCGAGTTTGCGCCCTCTGGAGTGTCGGGGCGATCGAAGCGGAATGGATCGTAATCTGAGTCGGAGGTATTCGATGCCGAAGTCGAAGGACGTGAGTCACCTGGTCCATCTGTTGACTGTGGCTGCGACTCTAGCGGAGGCTGAACCTCTGGCAGTGGAGCCCGGAGGGTGTCATGTCGGTCATCGTAGGTTTGGCTCTCGGGCACGGATCCCATGACTGGGAATGTCCACTGCATTGTGGCTCGCTTCTCAGCCTGGAAAGACTCCTCCTTTATGGGCTCCTGTGCAGGAGCTTCCTCTTCTTTTTGCTCTTCCGGTTGTTCCTCTTCATCTTGTACGAATGACGGGAATTTCCAGTCCATGGTGGGAGGTCGAGGACCAGACGGCACAAAGGTATCTTCGAGATTTCGGTCATCATCCACACTGCTAACAGACGACTTTGAGCTGTTCTCAGAGGAGGTCCTGTGTAATCGAAGACTGGAACGGTTCGCGCGAATAGTGTTTGCATCGACCAATTGGAAAGGTTGCGCAGATGGAGCTCCTGCCGCGTAGTGTGAGGCCTCGAATGACCCGATGTCGATATCGAGAAAAGTCGATGTGACAGAAGAGCGGTCTGTTTCCGCACGGAGGGGAAGATCTGAAGTGGACTGGGCAGGTTCGATGGGGACAAAGTCATTTTTTGTTTCATATGTGTAGCTGGGCTTTTCATGTTCAAACAGGCCTTCCATTGCCTCGGCGCCTCGGCGCACACGTTCATCGAAATTGGCCTTGTCTTCATAGTTAAGATCATCCTCTGAGAACTGTTCGTACATGTCCTGCTGAGACCCTGCATCGGTAGGACTGATTGATTGCTCCATCTCCGCTAGCGAAGCCGCAATCTCGTCCAGGTCAATGACAGAGAACCTTCGCTCAAACCCATCTGTTGTACTGAAATTCCAGTCATCGTCTGACTCCTCGATGCCTGGAGCTTCAGCTGCCGCGGCGCCACCTGGGTGGAACAAAGAGATACGCTGGCCTCCTCGCTGGGACCACTGGTAGTAGTTTCTCACCAACTCACTCACAGAGGCTGTAGGATATTCCTCTTCTGTATTGGCAATGTAGGGGTGGGCAAGGATATCTGCCATCGTCGGGCGGGTTTCTGGATTAGAGTCAAGGGCGTAGGCAATAAGATCTTTCAAGCCTTGGCTGTACTGGTCGCTGTCTAGCTGGGGAGTCTTGCGATTAAGCTGACGACCGATTTGCATTCGTTCTCGTAGGCCCGCGTTTGGCGGGTTCCCGTTCGCAAATTCGAACAGTGTGCAACCATACGCCCACACATCAATTTCACTCCCGTAGAGATGGGCCTCTCCACGAGTTGCAAACATCTCTGGCGGCATCCAATGGGGTGTTCCAATCCAGGTTGATCTTTTGTCCCGCTGCGATTGGAGAATGCCAGCAACACCGAAGTCACAGATTTCCAGACGACCCTCTTCATGAACAAGGATATTGGCAGCTTTCACATCACGATGAATGATCCCGGCTTCGTGAATAGCACGAAGTCCAACAGCCAGCTCACGAGCGATTGGAATGATGTATTTTTCATCGAGCTTGTCGTTTGTTGCACGCATCAAGGTACGGACACTGCCACCGGGACAGTACTCGCAAACCAGCCACAACTGGGAGTGAATTGAGATGGCTTCAATGATTTCGTTTATGTTTTTGGCACCAGAATCCTTCACTTGCTTCATCACCTTAGTCTCATGGATGAAATCCTTTATCGACTCATCTCTGAAATCTCGAAGCGATTTGTAGTCCGCCGCGTCAATATCTAGGACTTTGATGGCAACCGGACGACCTGATGGTTTTTGATGACCCTTGTAAACACGACCATAGGCACCTTTGCCTATCAATTCTTCAAACTCGTATGGTGGAGCCTCAGTTTTCGCACGACGACACATCTCTTGGACAGCCACCCCTTGTTCACGAGCTAGCTTGATTGCTTCCGCCTTGTGCTTGGTGATTGCCGCCATTGCAGAGGATGGGTCCAAGAGACGGGACGTTCGAGAATCCATTGGGAGGGATTATGATTTTGAAACGAGCTAGGTGTGGAATAAGATAGATGTAATAATAAGACAAGTGTAAAAGTGAGAAAGGACTTAGATAAAGATGCGGGCTGGGTGAGGTAATTTTGAAGTGAATGTAAGAATACGCGGCTCCTCTGGTATGAAGTTAATGATTGAGTGTTGATGGAGTACCCGGGCGTTTGCGGGTTTGACAACGCAGACGCTTGAGCTTCTTAACAAAACGTTTGAAGACTCTCTTGCACTTCTCTGTGCTCTTTTTCCCTGATGAGAAAGAGAATCTCGACGGACGAGAAGAGATACGTAGAGGCGTCTTCTGGTAATACCGAGGGGAATAAGCAATCGATGCAGGGCGCCCCTCAAGGATAGAGTTGAAGGAGCGCTGCCTTCTTATCACCTCACTGGTCGGACGAACTCGCGAGGGGTATTTGGGGAAAGCGACGTACTGGCTTCCGCGCTCCTGGGTCTGGCGAGAGATTTCAGGCTTCACTTGTTGTCCCTTGTGGTGGTCGATGGGGGGGCGTGACCCTCTGAAAGAGGTGCCGGGAGACAGGGGAGGGGCCTGAAACGAAAAGTTCCGAGAGTTAACGGCGGTTGAGACTTCGATAGAAGGCGGCAGAGAGAATCCAGAAGAACCAGTTGAGGGATTCCCCGGCCCACTGGTATCGAGTGCAGATGTATTGGCTTTGGCGCAAATTTTGGAAGGATCTTGCTCTCCGATCGGATTACTGTCACCGAATTCCTCAGAAAATCGGGAAATCCGAGGGAGGCTGGTCACAGATTTGATCTGACTACTGGCGACGGTCGATGTATTAGCCTGGGCACTATCTTTATGTGGCACTCGTTGGAAGTCAGAAGAAACGCGGGAGCAACTTTGGTCCCCGACCGTTTGATTGCGACCGGGAGGTCTTGGGAATGATTGAATTAATTGCTCAAAGCTCCCAGGCTCGTTCAAAGTCCTCGGGTCCTGGGATATTTCGCAATTGTCTTGGGCTCCATGGGTCGCGTTGAGGTCAACAACAGAATCGGGAGGCTCACCTGTTTCGCTATCATAAATTGATGGGCTCGGAGGTCCAACGGATCTAGGGCTTGCAACGTTCTCTGATGCCTTGGGGTATTGGGGAAGCTCAGAGGACTCGAGGCAGGGATGCTCGTTATCCGATGCAAGCTGTTGGAGTAACTCAGAGAACAGAGATTCCGAATCAGCGGCGATCAGAGAGGTCCACTCTTCTTCGTAGTGAACCAGGTCTCTGCCTTCTAAACCTTCGCGAAAGCCACTAGGACGATGGTGAGATGATGGATGTAACTGATTGGCGCGTTCACTGCGAGGGCGGCAGGTTAGTGTACAATCCACCCACTAAGCAGAAGAATATCTTACCAGAGCCTAGTAGATGCAAGTCTGCGACCAATACTGACTGAGCTGAGTTGACCAGATTGATCTCGGCTGTGAGTGGCCTCTAGGTCTGCACCAGGAAGCCCAGCAAATGGGTCAGACGAGCCGAAAAGACGAAGCAAGAATTGGTGCTCGCTCGGGGGGAACCCGAGTTCCTCAAATAGATTTTGGAGACTGGGAGACTCGTCAGCCATTTTGTTCAGAATTACATAGGCGGTATGTCAATCGAGACCGGGGGTCAATTTGATGATGGGAGAAGAGAGGATGAAAGCAATCATGTCGCGCCGTCCATAATTTTGGGGACCTCACCTACCTGGTCGCTTATTTAATCGAAAGACGAGCCACCACCCCGTCAACGAGTAGACACACCGAGTCTCTCCATTTGCCCTTTCAATACAGAATGCTTCGTAAGGCCTTCAATGGTAAACTAAAGCTGAGACGGATATTTGAGCGTCCACGGCCTAATTCACACAGCTTCCCACAGATATAGTATTAGACTTGAGAGGGGTCGGTATATTGAAGAACAGGAGGACGAAGATCGGTTGCCAGATGTCGTTGGCGTTGTTATGGCACGTGATATCTACACCCTTATCGTGATCTTAGGGAGCTGACCGCTTTGTTCTTCAAACGAAGGTTAGAATTCTGACCGCCATTAGGAAGCAGGCTTGGAAGTTCAGGTTCCTACAAAGGATATCAGTAAGGTCTAGTGCACAAGGCCTTGTATTTCCCAAGACATCTTATTGCAAGTAACTATTCGATGAATCCTATGGAGTGACAACCTCCAGGCCTTCCAACCTTGGAAGATTGGTTGAGATCTTATCGCTTATCGCTTATCGCGAACTATCGTGGACGGCCAGGCGGTGAAGCTTTTCATCTATTGTAGAGGCTCCTACATGTATGCACCCCGTACATGCACACTATCATACTAAAATTTAGGTACGGGGAAGTGATATGTGTATTAAAATCATAAACAAGTTTGGGTAGCTTCCTATGTTGCAAGGTGTGTTGTTGCCATGATACCCTTAGCCACTTATTACCGTACAAGAACATATTATACATTAAGTTTTATAAACAGAAGAGTGCCCAAATCACAAAGACAGAAAGGGAGAGACATAGACTAGCCCCCTCATCAATGCGGAAGCCGATGGACTTTTCCTTCTCGTTCTCATCTTTGGCTTCTGTATCATCTGCGTCGTCTGAAACTTCTTGCTTCGATGAAGTTCCGGAAACTGCATTCTTGCCAGTCGTGATTTCGAGAATTTTATCTTCGTTGGAGTCCCAGTTCCTCTGGGCAAAACTGACTTCGTCATTCCCCATATCATAGACAACGTAGATCTGTTGAAGGAAGTTTGCCCCAAGCACAACACTGTTTGGGTCCTCGGTATCGGCTTGTGACACAATGCCCAAATAGCAGATGTCCTCATCATTGAAAACGCTATGTGTTTCTATGAACGGACCAATATCTAGCTTGAAACTCGCACTTTCGAATTCGAACGTGAGTGTCGTGTGACTTGGAGTTTTATTGCATGGAATAAGCATTGGACCAAACGTTGCGATCTCAGTAGCGCCCAATTGAGATATGATATCCTGGGCGATGGATTCCGGAACATAGGTATAGGTCAATGAGGGATCAAGTAGAGCTTGAGTCGAGTATCCCTCGGGAAATACGGACGTCTCATTGATTGACAAGCTTGTCATATTGACCCGGAAGGCCTTTCTATCCTCGGTAGGATTGTTGACGATGGGAAGTGTGTGGAGGGTGCCATTGTATTTGGATTTGTTCACACCACCAAAAAGAAGAGTGCCTGATTTCCCATCCTGCGAGTCTCCTGTGGATGCAGAATATAGAGGATTTTCGATATACATGCTGAAGGCCGGGGATTTGATGGTTCCAGCATCAACCAATGCTTCAGTAAGGGAGATAAAAGACGAGTTTGTTTCGCCATATCCCAAGCCAATGATATCTATCCAAGAGATTAATTAACCGCAAATATGATCATATAGGCGTGTGGGCTTACTCTGCGTGACATCCACGTTCAGAACTCCGATCTTCATAGACTCCACGGTAGTGTCTCCAATGACAAGAGTATCGGTCACGAATTCCCCAGTGATGAGTAGAGATGATTCAATCGACTTGCTAACGGAGAAATTGGAATGCAGATCATTCATGCTCGTCGAAAGGCTCTTGTTATAGCCCCCAGAGGCGATGCAATGCTTATCGCCTCGAAACATACAAAGATGCGAAGTAGTTCTGGGCACCCAGCATTCATTGCCGACCGTCCGAAATGCCACATCGATACTCTGCGGCGGGATGCCTAGTGTGATGTTGGTGTAAAAAATATTTTCCTGAAGAGGTAAAAATTAGTTAAGGCAATAATATCAGGACCCGGACAAAGGCATTATACATCATCGCCAACTGGAAGAAGAACTGTATTCTCCCTCTTTAATTGGGGTTTAGCAGCCGATTTTGCAACTTGCTTGTGTTTCAATGGCACTTTGAACACAGCAGGTGTCTCTCTTTTTTCCAGGGATAAAGCATCTGTACAAGAGGCGCCCAGTAGAACCAAGAGCCACGACCCACTACGCATGTCGATCGGTAGTTAAGCGGGGGATATTTTGTAGCTCATTTTTGTACGGAGTAATTGGGGGTCATCGGGATTTTAATTCTAATAGGGGCAAAATTATATCTAGACAAATTGACGCTAAACCTCTAGCTTAGCGCAGAATTATCACCTGGCTTCGGGAGGATAACTCGCTTACCTACTAGAGGCTTTTAGCGATTGGGTGGCGCCCGCTAGGTGGTCGAGCGTTTAGGGTCTATTTTGGAGATTGACTGGAAGTATTAGCTTAAGGTGCCTATGAAGTGATATTTCATAAGAATATCTAACCACTTACGTAGCCTTGTGATATATGTTTGATGTCTTTTCGATGTCTTATATCTTCTTTTTAGATGCCTTGTCAGTAATGGCAGCCCGCAAAAAATGGCGGAAGGCTTAATTTGTGGAAGCGACTTTTCTATGCATACCTCTTGACAAATATATGTGGATAGTTAGAGGACAATGTTCTGTTTCTACCGGGCAAATTTGGGGTTCGCCAAAGCTAAGGCAACCTGGCACTTATCCTAAGCCAAAGCACTCTTGATGGTCTATGAAGAAGACCTATGTATTGCTTCTTGCGCTGGAGCACGTTAAGCATGGATACGGTAGTGACAGAAAGTATGTCAATTTTCTGGGATCTCTCGGTCAGGATCCTATGTTAGTCGCATTTAGAGGTATACTATAGCAGACTGGGCAGCCTTTCTAAGACTATAAGCATAGTGAGAAGGTAAAGGAGCTCGGATCACATCGTCCATTACTTAAGGACTATGTTCATCACAGTCACTTTCTGTATCGATGCCTTCGATATACAAACGGAAGTTGTTAAATAGATCCCGAAAAAAGCATTTGAAAGATGACACTAACGAGCAATGGCGGGGTACTTAATATCATATATGAGAATAGCGAGTATTGAGATTAACCGAATAGTCAAGATAGCCATCAATGGATTTTTTAGATGGCAAGGTGGCAGCCTTATCCTACCCATGAGCTTAGATCATGTTTTTTCGGTCGCGCCCAGCGTCTGGGGGATTAGCAATTAAGGCCATATGGTACACCTAGGTACTCCTACCTAGATAAAAGTGCCTATGTAATCTTGTCATATGTTTTGTTTGGAGGTCAAGAAACTCCAACTGAATCACACGATTCTATATTTATATAGCGGTGGCTGCCGGGACTGTGCACCGGAATACTCGGCTTTGAGGACTGTTCCAGCTTATTGTTTTGAGCTCGACTATGTGGCAGTAGAGCGAAGTAGTTGGCATATCAAGTCTTGATTTCATTGGTTTTGCTTTAACCACAGCTTCACGTTTCATTTCCGCCAATGTATGTTGCAGGTGTATGCAGGTGGGATGATTTGATGCCTTGATGCCTTCAAATGAGGAGTTGATTTGCCCCCCACTAATGCACGAGCCAGCTACAACATTACTCCGTAGTGAAACGGAAAATTTTGCGTGAGATGTAATGAGGTTTTTTTTTTTTTTTTCTCTTTTCTTTTTCTAAAAATTTTAAAAATTTTCTCAGCTATTTATATATATATGTTTTACAAATATACTTAGAGCTATATAGCTATAGACTTGCCCATCCATTGAGCTCTTTGCCTGAGGTATCTGCCCGCGTTGAGTTGGATTATTAATGTGCATTGCCCCACTAAGTTGATAGAGGGGTTTTGGGCAAGTCAAGTGCATAGGATCCTTGGAAGGCTAAAAAGCATGGGGATGAATCATAGGCTCTAAATTGACTCTTTTTTTTATGATTTACGAAGATTATGAACAATAAATATCATAAATATAGCCGTAAAGAGGATCGGAGTAGCTCTCGCTTGTGATATGTTGGTAAACGTCACCGGAGAACCCGCGGATGGCGAAAAAAGTCATTTGCAGTGAGTCAAGATATGAAATTATAGAGGATTTGAAATCAAAAAAAGGCTGGAATGAGAAGCAAATGACAGTAAGATGAGAAATTAAAAAAATATAAAATACAATTCTTTTTCTATATGAAAAAAAATTGGGCTAGTCAGCTCAAACGCACAAAACCGGGAGAAAAAAAAGTCCCCACTTTCGCTTTTCTTTTTTTTCTCTCCCACTTTCCCTTCCCCTCTCTTCTTCCTTTTCCCCTCTACCTCTGTCCTCCAGGAGCAGTTGCACATAGAACTTTTTGATTCAGCGATCGAGAATATCGATCCTAGTCATCTGTGTGCTCTTCTTCTTCTTTTTTTTTTCTATCCTAATTTTTTAAGGATCAACCGCCAAAATGGTTAAGTAAGTTAGACTGCTCTGACGATATTCCAGAATATACAGCTAACATGATGTGAACAGCTTCACTATCGAAGAGGTTCGTAATTGCCTTCCAAGGGTTCCAAGGTTATATCAAACATTACCAGTGGAAGGGACATTGCCCTCGATTGCTCACCCTTCATCTTCCCCATCTTCTATCTCCCATCCCCCATTCCACTGGTGATGCTTGAAAACCTTTGTCCCAAAAACAGCTTTGTCTGCGAAACATCATGAATGCCGATACTGACCTGCATAAGATCCGGTCCTTGATGGACCGTCGGGCTAACATCCGAAACATGTCCGTCATTGCTCACGGTAAGTTTTTATGGAAGATAGGATATGGTGAAATGGCTGATTCTAACTTTGTTTCTGTGCCTTAGTCGATCACGGAAAGTCCACCCTCTCCGATGCCCTTGTTCAGCGTGCCGGTATTATTTCCGCCGCCAAGGCCGGTGAGGCTCGCTTCATGGACACCCGTCCCGATGAGCAGGATCGTTGCATTACCATCAAGTCCACCGCTATCTCCCTCTACGCCAAGTTCCCCGACCCAGAGGATCTTAAGGAGATTCCCCAGGCTGTTGATGGTGACGAGTTCCTGATCAACTTGATCGATTCCCCCGGTCACGTCGATTTCTCGTCTGAGGTCACTGCCGCCCTCCGTGTTACTGACGGTGCCCTTGTCGTTGTCGACTGTGTCTCCGGTGTCTGTGTCCAGACCGAGACTGTGCTGCGTCAGGCCCTGACCGAGCGCATCAAGCCCGTTCTGATCATCAACAAGGTCGATCGTGCTCTTCTCGAGCTCCAGGTCTCCAAGGAGGATCTTTACCAGTCCTTCTCCCGTACCATCGAGTCCGTCAACGTCATTATCTCCACCTACTTCGACAAGGCTCTCGGTGACGTCCAGGTCTACCCCGACAGAGGTACCATCGCTTTCGGTTCCGGTCTCCACGGATGGTGCTTCACTGTCCGCCAGTTCGCTGTCCGTTACGCCAAGAAGTTCGGTGTTGACCGCAAGAAGATGCTTGAGCGTCTCTGGGGCGACAACTACTTCAACCCCAAGACCAAGAAGTGGACCACCAAGTCTGAGCACGAGGGCAAGACCCTTGAGCGTGCCTTCAACCAGTTCATCTTGGACCCCATCTTCAAGATCTTCGCCGCTGTCAACCACAACAAGCGCGATGAGATCTTCACCCTTCTCGATAAGCTCGAGGTTTCCCTCACTGCCGATGAGAAGGAGCTCGAGGGCAAGGCCATCCTCAAGCTCATCATGCGCAAGTTCCTGCCTGCCGCTGATGCCCTTCTTGAGATGATCTGTATCCACCTGCCTTCCCCCGTCACTGCCCAGAAGTACCGTGCCGAGACTCTCTACGAAGGTCCCATGGACGACCGTGCCGCCATTGGTATCCGTGACTGTGACCCCACTGCTCCTCTGATGCTTTACGTCTCCAAGATGGTTCCCACCTCCGATAAGGGTCGTTTCTACGCCTTCGGTCGTGTCTACGCCGGTACCGTCAAGTCTGGTATCAAGGTCCGCATCCAGGGCCCCAACTACGTCCCCGGCCGTAAGGAGGATCTCTTCATCAAGGCCATCCAGCGTACCATTCTCATGATGGGTCGCTTCGTTGAGCCCATTGAGGATGTCCCCGCCGGTAACATTGTCGGTCTGGTTGGTGTCGATCAGTTCCTGCTCAAGTCCGGTACCCTCACCACCGATGAGACTGCCCACAACATGAAGGTCATGAAGTTCTCCGTCTCCCCCGTTGTGCAGCGCTCCGTCGAGGTCAAGAACGCTCAGGATCTGCCCAAGCTTGTCGAGGGCCTCAAGCGTCTCTCCAAGTCCGACCCCTGTGTCCTGACCATGATCAACGAGTCTGGCCAGCACATTGTTGCCGGTGCTGGTGAGCTCCACCTCGAGATTTGTCTTAAGGATCTTGAGGAGGACCACGCTGGTGTTCCTCTCCGTATCTCCGACCCCGTCGTTGCTTACCGTGAGACCGTCGCTGGTACCTCCAGCATGACTGCTCTGTCCAAGTCTCCCAACAAGCACAACCGTCTCTACATGACTGCTCAGCCCATCGAGGAGGAGGTTTCCCTCGCCATCGAGTCTGGCAAGATCAGCCCCCGTGACGATTTCAAGGCCCGTGCCCGTGTCCTTGCTGACGAGTACGGCTGGGATGTCACCGATGCCCGTAAGATTTGGTGCTTCGGTCCCGACACCACCGGTGCCAACTTGCTTGTCGACCAGACCAAGGCCGTCCAGTACCTCAACGAAATCAAGGATTCCGTTGTCTCCGGTTTCCAGTGGGCTACCCGCGAGGGTCCCGTTGCCGAGGAGCCCATGCGTTCCGTCCGCTTCAACATCCTCGATGTTACCCTGCACGCTGATGCCATTCACCGTGGTGGTGGTCAACTGATCCCCACTGCTCGTCGTGTCCTGTACGCCGCTGCCATGCTGGCCGACCCCGGTCTTCTCGAGCCCATCTTCAACGTCGAGATCCAGGTCCCCGAGCAGGCTATGGGTGGTATCTACGGTGTCCTTACCCGTCGCCGTGGTCACGTCTACACCGAGGAGCAGCGTCCCGGTACCCCTCTGTTCATGGTCAAGGCTTACTTGCCCGTCAACGAGTCCTTCGGTTTCCCTGCCGATCTGCGCTCCGCTACCGGTGGCCAGGCTTTCCCCCAGTCCGTCTTCGATCACTGGGCTATCCTCCCCGGTGGTTCTCCTCTCGACCCCACCACCAAGCCCGGTCAGGTCGTCCAGGAGATGCGCAAGCGCAAGGGTCTCAAGGAGGTCGTTCCCGGTTACGAAAACGTAAGTCATCTTTTTGCTCACCATAATTGCTCTCAGTCACTAATCTGGTTCTATAGTACTACGACAAGCTGTAAAAATGTTCCCGGCCACCCAGAATTTCCCTTCTGCCAGTCATTCGTGGAATCTTTCATGAGATTGATGAATTCAATACAATTTCTTCGGTTCAACAAAATTTTATTCCCTCATTCGTCGGTACTTGCTTCGATCGTTCCGTCTTTAGAAATCCGGACATGAACCTCCCAGCCTTTGGTATCATTGGTTCTGTCCTTTCATTGCTGTTTACATTTGCTTTTCCCTGAGGGCTTTTCTGCTTTTGCGTTTTTTTTTTGCTGTAGTCTAGCAACCAGTTTCGATATGAAAATAAACTTGGTATGCTAGGCGCAGCTGTTCATCTGTAGGTTCAACGTAGCTTTTGCGAGTAAATGTACATGTAAATACCAAAAACGTCAAGAATTTGATATTCAAATCAATGAATGCGATCACGATCCTTGAAAGGAGCTTTGAGCTTTGAGCAGTGGGTGCTATGTCATTCAAACACGTGATCCCGGCACTCGCGTTTTTGCCTTCGACTTCGCGTTCCCAGCCATGTCCTTACCATTCCCTCACGGTTGGGGGTGAATGCTTATCAGCTTAAAATAGCTTATTGTGAAGCTTTATTACTTGAAACTCACAAAGCTCTGATTCATCCAATATACAATCCACTGCACACGAAGGAATCTTCCCGAGTTGACGGCTTTGTTGAAATCGACATCCCTGCAATCATCACCACTTCACATTATCGGTTCGACGCAATTCAACCCTCACAGTTTGAAATTGCCCGAAAAAAAAAATCTTCACCATGCAGTTCACTGACGCAGAAGCTGCCGATGTAAAGAAATGGGTGGTCAAAAAACTGGAGGACATGTGAGTAGATCAAACAATAGAATCGGGTCTTGACATGGGCCTCGTTAAACAAAGCAGCGACTAATCATCTTGAATCTGCCTCTAGTTCTGACGCGGACTCCGATGTGCTTGCAGACTATGTTTTGGCGCTAGTTAGGTCCGATGCGCCAGCCGAGGAAATCAAAAAGGTCTCAGTCGAAAACCTGGAGGATTTCCTGCGCGAACGTGCGTCTAATGTCTCAATCGTATTGAAATGTTTTATATTACTAACATTTACTAGACACGCAACCATTCGTCACTGAGCTCTTCACAACCTTCGGTCCTAAGCAACCTGCCCCTCCTACACCTGCACCTGCACCCCAGCCTCAGCGCCAGCCCCAACCCGCTGCCCACATTGCCTCTTCACAACCTCCTGAGAATGCCCCCAGCGGCCCGAGGGCTGCTGCTACTCCTGGTAGTGCCAATCGCAAACGAACTTTTAATGATGGATTCCAAGGGGAGCCGGAGAACGACGATAGTGGCTTCCAGAATCGCGCCATGAAGACTGCACGGCGTGGCGGTCGCGGCGGCGGTCGCGGCGACTTCATGGGTGGACATCAGATGCAGCCAGGTCAACAATATCCCCCACAGCAACAGGGTCAACCATTCCCTCCACATCAACAGGGCCAACCGTTCCCTCCCCAGCAGCCTGGTGGCTTCCCGCCCATGATGCCCGGTTACCCGCCGTTCGACTCAAACGATCCTATGGCAGCAATGATGGCTATGCAGAGTATGCAAGGTATGGGATTCCAGATGCCGGGTATGCCTATGCCCGGGATGCCTAGTGCTCCCGGTCAGCCAGGAGTCGATCAGATTCCACAAAGCAACCAGCGATGTCCGTTCTATGATACCCAAGGTATCTGTTACCTAGGAAATACTTGCCCTTATCAACACGGTGACGGAGGTGTCTCAAAAGACGATGGTTAGAGGAATCCATTCATCCTAGAAATACCATTGCTGACAGTTACAGAATATGACCCCAAGACTGCGGGCATGCATGCGCAGCGAGGCGGTGCTCCTATGCGCGGTGACCGAGGCCGCGGCCGTGGTCGCGGCGGATTCAGCGGACGAGGACGCGGCCGGTCCGATTTCTCAGCGGCAGGACCTAATGAGGACCAGTCTATAACGACGATTGTTGTTGAGCAGATTCCTGACGACAAGTTCAACGAGGATTATGTGCGCGAGTTCTTCTCTGAGTTCGGCACCATTACGGAGGTCACTTTGCAACCCTACAAGAAAATTGCTTTGGTCAAATACGAGACTTTCCCCGAAGCCAAGGCCGCGTGGTCCAGCCCCAAGGTCATCTTCGACAACCGTTTTGTGAAGGTTTACTGGTACAAACCGAATCGCGAAGAAAAGCATGACAGCGCACAGCCTGAGGCCCCAGCTTTCAACCAAGAAGAGTTCGAGAAGCAACAGCAAGAAGCACAGAGGGTGCATGAGGAGAAAATGAAAAAGCGACAGGAGACCGAAGCAGCCAAGCAGGCTATAGAGCGCCAGCGCGAGGAACTGCTCAAGAAACAACAAGAGGAGCGGGCCCGCCTGATGCAGCGTCTCGGAGGCACAGCAGACACGAGCAATGCCACCGGTACCGGGGATGCCATGTCCGTCGAACCTGCCGCTGATGAGAATATTAGTGATGAGACGAAACAGCTGCGAGCTCAATTGGCTGCCCTCGAGGCTGAGGCCAAGAGCCTTGGCCTCGACCCTACGGCCGATCCTTCAGCACGGGGTGGATACCGGGGCCGTGGTGCCTACCGTGGCCGAGGCACATACCGTGGACGCGGCACTTATGACCCCAATTTCCGCGGAGGCTATCGTGGGCGCGGTGGGTTTGCGGCCCGTGGACGAGGAGGTGTGCTGCGTCTGGATAACCGGCCTCGACGAGTTGCCGTATCGGGCGTTGAGCTCAACTCAGAGAAGGACGAAGCATTGCGTCAGCACCTGATGGTAAGTCATGTATCTTTCCAAGCAAGCCAAGCATTTATATTAATTTGTTTTATTCTAGGGCGTTGGCGAATACGAATCTATTGAGGCCCACCCAGACCAGCCCAACACAGTCGTGGTGGCATTCAAAGAGCGCTTCCAGGCCGAAAAGCTCATGTTCTCCCCTTGGAATATCCCCTCCGTGGGCGAGGTCCAGCTTGCCTGGGTGGCCAATCCGCCTATTACAGTTCCCGCCGCTGGGTCATCGGCGGAATTCAAGGGAGGTCTTGGACAGGATGAGCCAGAAGACACAGTCATGTCTTCAACATCGGTGGCCAACACCGCTACTGCGCGCGATATGGACTACGATGTTGCGGAGGACGACCGCTGGGGCGCGTAATTCTATCACCTTGAGTGTATCATCACATGTTGGTTGTATAGGCTGTATTAAGCTATTTTCAAAGGGATGGACGTTCCATTCCCGACCTGTTGTCTAAAACAAAGCGCTACAATCGTAGAGTGTATAGAAAAAGTAGATTCTCCCAGCATCATATGCTCTGAGGAATCAACTCAACCGTATATCCATCCTATCAGTTCGCATCAGCACATTCTTGTCTAGAGTATAGAACCATTGAACTCACCGGATCAGAAACCATAGCAAATTTCTCAAAAAACCACGCATAATTCCCATGAATCGCACCACGTCCAATCCCCCTCTCCTCCTCCCACTCAGAAAGAGGCACAGTCTCCCTCGAACAAACACCCACATCCTTAAGAATCGTAACCCCACCATCCCGCAGTCTCTGCACAGTAGCCACCACATCAGGAACCGTAAACCCTAGATGCGTGAATCCAAGATGCGGGGGTGTATTCCCCGTAGAAACAGAACCATCCACATTCTCCGTCCCATGCACATGATACAACTCCAGTAGTCCGCTCGTCCTAGTCATAACGGGGATTTCACTTGTACTCTTCGCCCACGCGCTTATATCCTCTTCGGTCTTTGCCTCTGCCGGCGGGTGTCCGAGGTAATAGATCGTAAAAGGCCCCGCGTTCATAGTGAAGATTATTCGCATGCCTAGCAGGTCCATGTAGAAATGGAGTGAGCGGGCTGGGTCCTGGATGCGTAGAGCTAGGTGGTTTAATTTGTAGTCTTTTGTTGCTGGTGTTGGCGGTGGGTTTAGGCTTGGTGCTGCATTGAAGTGACCTTCTTCCTGGGGTGGGATGGGTTGGATTTTGGTTTCAGACATGTTTAGTTATAGATGGATGTATGTATGGATGTTGGTGGAATTAAATTAAGAGAGAGATCAATGAGGGGTTGATATTCTAGGGCGGATCCCTGTTTGGCCTATCAAAGAGAGCGAATGTTGGAATAGCTCACATTCATCTTCGTATTGCTATGCTTTACTTCAAAAATTCAGCCTCTACTGATAAACAATCATATCCAAACCACCCTCATACGGCATCGTCACTCGTCGGAACCCACTACCTTCGGCATCAACATACGCAAAGAGCTCCTGATACTTATCACCAGACTTCACCGTATTATCAGCGATGATTACCGCGCCAGGTCGGAAGTGCGGCTGGACGAGCTTCAATGCGGGGAGAGCGAGAGGCGTCCAGACTAGTAGTGGTTAGTATGCCAATATCACGAGTAGACATCGAACATCAAACAGAAATAGACATGTACATGCATATCCATATCTTATAAAAGAAAATAAAGACTTACTATCCAACAACAAGAAATCCACCGTCCCCAAATCCGAAGTAAGAGTCTCACGTAGATCCCCAACACGAAGATCAATCACATCTTCAACATCGCTGCCCGCACTCGCCCAATGCGCTCGAGCCAGCTTAGCCTTCGACTCTTCCTTCTCCGTGGCTATGACACGGGGCTTGGCTGTAGCGCCAACCCGCTTCGCATTCTCTGCAACAGCGAGAGCGAGGTAGATGGTGCTAACGCCAAAGCTGGTACCGGCCTCGACGACTGTCTTTGCGTTGATGCTGCGCAGGATTTGGTAGACTAGTTCGCACTTGTCCTGATCCAGGGCGATGAACTTATCTAGCATGATGGAGTCGAATTCCGCGCTGCATTGTTTTGGGAGGCTTTTCCAGTCGACTGTTGATTCTTGGGTTAGGGATTTGGTGTGGAGGTCTTTGAGGAGGGTTAGGATTTCTGGGGAGGCTCTGAGGGGTGAGGGGGACATTTTGGATTGGATTGGTTATTTGGGGATTGGGGGTAGGTCTTCGGTTACTAGGGAGAATGAAGAGGAGGAAGAGAAGGAGAAGAACTGTATAATTGAATAAAAGAGGTCTGATTTCAGTCAGCTAGGATGGCTTGAGCAAACAGGCATTGGGTAGGATTGGGGAATTGGAGAAAATGTAGGGAAATAAGGGAAATTTGCATCAAAAAGTCCCTAAGCTCCGGGCCTAGGGCCAAATTGATATTTAGTGAGTCATCGGGGAGCCTTGCTCAGAGTCCGTACGATATGCATACGCCCTGTCGGAAATTGGGGTCAGACGGGTGAACACGACGAAGAGGAAGTGCCGAGTCTAGCCGATATGATTCGCTCGAGTGCAGCTATGGCAGCTGGGAATACCTAGCTTGCCACTATAACGACTATCATGGCCGTTAGTTGCTTTAGATTGACGCTGACATTGGAAAGATGACCACTATAACAATTCTATACAAGCACAGCAATAGTAAACTCCATTCTACTGCTCTAGTATGTCCGCATAACTATTCAAAGACCTCCCGATCAAAGAAACCATCTCCCAGATATAATCCGCTGTAAACAGCCGCGCCCATAATCGGGTAACCGCAGCACTGAGCCGGGTATTAGTAGCGAGCAGCCATTCCCTCGAAACACCATGCTGCACCTCCATAACCATCTCGAGCACGAAATCCCGCAACCGAATCTCCTGCTCTGTCAACCGCGGTTGCGGATCCGACACTGTAATCGCCTCAAGCCACTTAGCCAACAGCACCGCACACTCCAAGGAGCACAAAGCATGCTGGTTCGACCATAGCGCTACCTGCGAGTGCGCGACAAACCCAATACCGAGCTTGACGGGTGTGCTGAGGGCATGCGCGCAGTGGAGCGCTGCGCGCGTGAGCCGGTCGCCGCGACGAACGGAGAGGTTTTCACGGAGACTTGTTGCGATCTGAACGGGGTCCCATGTTTGCAGTTGGCGGGCTGAGCCACAGTCGGCGTTGAGTCGGATGTAAGCTAATCGAAGTAGAGCTGCTGATGTGAAGGATAAAGGGCCGTTCGGGCTGAGTGGATCAACGGATGATTCTTGATTGCGCTCCCAGCACTGACACCAACGTTCTAGGGCTTGTTCGACGTGTACTAGCTCAGGGGTGGATGTCATTGACGAGGTGAAGCGGTTCCGTCGTGAGACGGGCAGTCGACCCGCTTTCGTCATAAGCCATATGTCTTGCAGGATCGCGTGGATTAGCACGTAGCCACCCAGTGAGGAGAACCGTTCTACATTGTCGGTTGGGCCGAAGAGGCCGGAAAGGGCGTCTTGGAATTTTGGTTCGCCCGGGCTCTTCATGCGCTCTGCCTGCCAGAGGTCTGCGCGCGGGGCTTGCCATTCTTTTTCCGTACAGGGTAATTCGAGTGTGAAATCTTCTGTGAGAATCACTGGTGGGACGTCAAAGACGATGGTGTGGATGTTGAAGAAACAGAGAACAATTAGTTTGGTGCGCTTTACGCGTTCATGTCGTATCCAGCTACTCCATGTCCCGTCCTGCTCGGGTAGCCGGTTGAGGCCTCCTTTTCGGATGAGCATTTCCATTAGACTGCGGAGTGACAGCGCCTCGTGGTATGGGGGGTTGTTTACAAACCATAGAGACACTGAAGTTAGGTACAATAGAGCTTGCACGGTTTCTAAGGTATCGATATCGTCGGCCGCGTTGACCGAGGGTAGCTTGCCTGACTGGAAGACCCGACGGACATGTTCCAAAGTCACTGGTTTCGCAATCTGATAGAGACGCATGCTAGTGTCTGGCTCGCGGCAATACCGTGCACCCAATGCCGCCATCGAGAGAAAGAGCGGTAATGTCATCGAGTCTACATCGAGGGTCGGGATATGCACGACGGGGTAGTGATCATGGAAACCGGTTACATAACCGGTCAAACATCGGGATAGCGCATGTCGAGAGGGTAGTGATGGATCTGGAACCACACTTGCATAGTCGGATAACATATCCAAGAGCTTGTCCCGACATTGAGCCGTGACTGGTACAAATCCCGTGGGCTGGCGCGCCTTGGGGGAGATGTGATATCCCTCCGGCTGGAGTGAGGGCAACTGAGCACCATGTCGGGGAAGAACAGAACTCGAAGGAGTCGAAGGAGTAGTCTCGGTCAGAGTCCCTCTCTCAGAAGATCGATCATAGTCCGGAAGGGAGAAGTTCAATGGTGGGAATAGTGGGAGTGGCTGATAAGCCGGCGAGAATGGATGATTTGGCAAGGGGACGCTATCCAAAAATGAGGTAAAGTCACCATGATATGGTCCCGGTCCAAATCCACCTAGACCATATCCAAAATCCGGACCTGGTGGTGGGGTACTAGGTCCTATAGAGGGGGTGTCTGTGCTGGCCAACTCAGCACCCAGTATTGGGCGGTGCACGGCCGGGGATAATGCTTGGAAATGGTCATTGGGCCCCTGTAAAGTGCTACGATTAGATTGGGCATGGGTTGTGACTGCAGACGCCAATGAGTCTAGCCCATCCAGGGTGAGATGATTTGCGGGGGAAGGCGTCTGTGTCTTATTGCTGGCTGGACTGGCATCGGGGTTGTGAGAGAGACGCTCATGACGGGCCAGCAGATCCCTAGAGTTGTAAGTATCTAATATATCGTTCTAAATTTTTGGATTATGTATCATACTTGCGTGTAAAGGCTTTCGGACATTGGACACAAGCAAACGGTTTCTCTTTGGTATCTGTGGGGTATTAGAGGGGGTATATTCCATTCAAGGTCGTGGAAACATACGTGAGCGATCATGTCTTTGAAGATGCTCTAGACGAGCAAATGCCCTCGGGCATCGATGACACTGATAGGGCTTGCTAGCTAACATTGGGGATGGACATGTGGAGTGAATATGCGAGATACCTCGGGGGGTTGTAGCGCAACTCCGGTGAGTTGGACTATGCCATAATTGCCTAAATTTCCCCTATCACGCCCACACACCAGGTCGAATTGATTGGAATTGACCAGCTCTAGTTCTGCACATGCACTGTTGGCTTATTCTACTTGATATTGATTGTTAATCATCTCTATGGAATCAATCTAAATCTCCCGAACCCCGGACCCCCAAATCCCCAAATTGGGGAGATTTCCACTAAACAACATCGATGCCTGATTGCAGCTGTGGAGAAATATGCCCCGTATTGGATTGTACTCTGTACATGTTATACTACCCTCTCATTTTATTCTCATTTTATTCTCATTTTATTCACATTGATTTTCTAGCTTTAGGAGAAATAATTCGAGTCTTTTGCTTGTAAATATTTGATAGGAAGTGAAAATCCTTCAAAAAAGGGAAATAGAGCTAGTCTATATACAGTAGGCGGTGACAATCACGATGCCAAGACCTCGGTGCCATGGAATGCTGTTATCAGTTCCAAATTTGGACTTGGGGAAGATTTTTTTTTTTTTTTCTATGAATTGTAGTAACTCGGCATGAGACCTACCAATTGCTGCAAATGGTGAAAAGACATGATGAAAACATACTCCACATTAGGATGATATATCAAATTTGGGGTTGATTGTGTCTCTCGGTCTTTGATCCTTTTCTCCAATTTTCTGACTCCACGGAGTCCACGCCCTAGATGCTTAGCCTATAAACCACTAAATGTCCTTCGAAACTTAGAAAAACTCTTGCCATAATTTTGACTCACTACATGGCATCTACAATGCCTGAGTCAATTAAAACACGACCAACAGCCATGGAAAAGCGTGAGGAGACACCTGAGTCTCTATGCGGGTCCCAAGATATCGAATTTCGATATCTAGAGCTAGAAACGCCCTTACCGACGCCATGCATTACTTTACCTCCCGGTCCCGCTCAATCACCACCACCAGAACCGCCTAGTTTAGAGAAATACACATCTCCATTTCTCTGGCCACAATGGCGCAAGTCGATGATGACTTATATCGCCTGCGGGGTTACTGCGCTAGCGGGTTATGCTGCGGGTGAGGTCAGTCCTGCATCGGAAGAACTCACTAAACTATGGGGGATCAGTACTGTCGTGTATAATCTGAGCATCACACTTTTCTGCTGTGGCTTTGCTCTGGCACCGATGGTGCTAGCTCCGTTTTCCGAGATAAATGGACGGAGACCCATCTTCATCGCTAGTGGAATTCTCTTCGTTGGTATGTATACCGTGATTGCTGTGTTATTTGGCATATATTGACTTGCTATTTCAATAGCTAGTTTAGTTGGTTGTGGAGGTACGCAATCTTTTGCTGGATTGCTTGTAGCTCGTTTCTTCCAAGGTGTGGGTGGATGTATGTATAACCTTCCACGAATGATCGATTTCATATTGACTTGATCCTCACAGCAACATTCTCTACCATGGTTGGTGGTGTGATCAGCGATATCTATCACGCCAAAGACCGTAACACCCCCATGGCCCTCTTCTCAGGATCTGCATTGTTCGGTACTGGCCTGGCACCGCTGATCTCAGGCGCAATCATCACCCGCACCACATGGCGCTGGGTTTTCTACTCGCATGCAATTGTGTCTGCCGCATTCGTCATCGCCATCTACTTCTTCTTCAAAGAAACCCGCGGCAGCGTCCTACTAAGCCGCAAAGCGGCAAAGTTAAACCAGTACTACGAGCAGCTCGAAGAAGCTGGCCACCACGGTGTAATCCTGTCGAGGGAAGAGTCCGAAGAAAAATGCATTCGTCGAATTAGATGGAAGGTCAAGAGCGACGAACAACGAGCATCGATCGCAACCATGATCCAGATCTCGCTGTATCGACCATTCCGTAAGTCTACTCAAGCATCCTCAAAGATCAAAAGATGAACAGAGAGGGTAAAAAAAGCTAACATCCCAATCCAGACATGCTCCTTACCGAACCAGTGGTCTTCTTTTTCTCCCTATGGGTCTCCTTCAGCTGGGCAGTCCTCTACCTCCAATTCAGCTCAGTACCACTCATCTTCCGCACAAACCACAACTTCACAATCGAGCAGACCGGCGCCGTCTTCACCTCAATGTGCGTCGGCGTCATCCTCATCACAGTCATCAGTATCTACCAAGAACGCATCGCCATGCGTTTCGGGAAATACTCCACTTCTCCCGAGGGCAGACTGTATTTCGTTTGCATTGAATCTGTGCTTCTACCTATTGGACTGTTCTGGTTTGGGTGGAGTTCATTCCCATCCGTTCACTGGATCGTGCCTGCTATGGCCGTTGGTTGTGCTACTATGGGCATCTTTTCTATCTATCTCGCTACATTCAATTACCTCGCTGATACTTATCATCGGTATGCGAGTTCGGCAATTGCGGCGCAGTCTTGTTGTACGTTTTTCCCTAGGGCAGCTCTCTTGGTGAAGGTCTAGGTATGTGTTGGGACACTGACATCTTGCTTGATAGGCCGGAACATGCTTGGTGGTATCTTTCCATTGGTTACGAATGCCATGTTCACCAACCTTGGTTATCCAGAAGCATCAAGTTTACTAGGAGGACTTGTAAGTCGCAGTGATTACCCACAAATGAAAGAAAATTGACTGACTAGATCATAACAGGGTGCTGCTCTGACTCTAGTCCCTTGGGTGCTGGCCTTATATGGACCTCAGATTCGAGCTAGGAGCAAGCTCGCAAGTGTAAGTGATACCCTCCATTGATGTACATTGTTCAAGACTAATGGAATGACAGGAGCTCGCACATTAGATGATGTACAGCGCGTTCAAACCATGAAGACGACAAAAAGTAATTTAATAGTATTTTAAGGTACAGGATCACATAGAGCCAACATGCATATTATCAACTTTCAGGCCCAGATAGATGCCTGGTTTGAATTCTCCAGCAAATGAATTGAAGTCGTACAAACCGTACGCTTCCTGTAGTAGCAGGTTATGCCAGCAATTCAAAAAACCCCACAATGCTAAAGCGATGTACAAAATCTTAGAAATGCAATTACCTCAGGCGATCATGCCCTCTAAATGGATGAGCACCATTAATCCCAAGACGATATGATGCATACCGGCCCTCATCCTCGCTATCACTATCCATTTGATCCAAGAGGCGATCAATATCATCACCAGCATGAGCTTCCATCCCTGGTTTTCTCTCGGGCCCACAATCATTGTGAGATTCTAAGCTTTGGGAGCCCTGGCTTCCATTGCGGTGAGTTCCATTGCTGGGAGCGTTTATGGACTCATTCAGGCTGCTTTGCGTGCTCGCTGCTTGGAGAGGGCGAGGGCTGAATCGATACCCCGAGTTCTCAGGGCTGGACATGAACATCAGGGTTTCGATGGCATCTTGTTCCATAAGTGTATTTTCGGAATGGGTGCGCGGTCTATAGAAGCCGTTCGGTGTGGATGTTGGTGGGTGTGTGAGAGATGATGAGAGCGAGGGTATCTGAGGCCCTAGGACTTGGCCGTTGAGTGGTCGGGTGAGTGCATTCTCTTGATGTGAATGGTGGCGTCGGTGGCGGGAGATAGGGTTGTGGTCTGAGGGTTTGGAGACTGCGTTAGGATTCGGGCGACGGCGGTGGTTATGACCATTTGATGAGATGATATCGACAGGCGGTGCTAGCTTGGGAATTGGAATGAATTGATTAGATGAAAATGCTGATCGCGAGCGATTATGGCTCGGGAAATGATTGGAGTTTCCGTTGGAAGATGCTTGAGAATCTGGTGAAAAACGCGTAGAGCTTCTTGCCGGTAATGATGCGACGTCACTTGGTGCCGACGGGCTCAATGGCGACGCGCTGTTGTGTGTTCGCAATGCAGTTTGTGGGGTAGCTTCGCGCGACTGTCGGGCCTGTTCTACTTTGGCAGCCGCGTATGACAGGCGTGTACGGATATGGACCGACAACTGGGTGATAATGAGCTATAGACTCTTGAGTGGGCGGGTGAGCGCATTACCTGTGCAATCCTACTCCCATAAGCTGACGAGCCCGTGCTCTTCGAACGTCGTCGCGCAGCTCCATTCGCGTCGGCACTATGAGGTGTGGGTGGATCTAAAGTGGATTTGAAGTCGCCAGCTGCTGTCCGTTTCTGGCTTGGGGCCAAGCGAGTATCAAAATTTGACCTTGTGCGTGAATGTTTTGGTGATGGCGGCGGTGATATTGCAACATTGCCGGATTTGATCGGCGACAATGAGGGTTGCCATCGATCTATTGAGGCACCTCCATTCACCGGCTGCATGTGCGGGGCGAGCTGGGATTCCAATAACTCCCGGTCCACCCACGGTATCGATGTATGTCCATTCAATGTATGAGAGTTACTGAACTCTGCCGACTGGCTATTACCATTGGTCGAGGATGAAGGAAAGCTGGAAAGAGAGTCTGTGAGGGTGCTAGCGGAAAGGCCTAGTCGTCGGCCATCGCCTGACGTATCGCTGCCGCGCTCCGATGATTCGATATAGGCTGGGTTCGGGTTACCGTCGCCATGAGCGACGGTAACGGCGTTCAGGCCATCTATTTGTAGTGACAATGGTTGCGGCAATTGTGCGGTTTGGGAATCGGCCGAAGGAATTGGTTTGTGAGGCGCGGGAGACGCCGCGTTGTTCATAGAGTGGGTGTTCACACTGGCCTCCGCATGGAGCACTCCGCGATCAGACATAGCATCGCGACCGTCATTCATAATCATGGTTGGGATGCGAAAGATTAGAAGATGCTGGGATAGCGACAATCGACAAATACGCGCGAGGTAGCTTTATTCGCGAGTTTACGCGGCACAATCTCAACGTGCATGTCCTGTCCCGAGTCACCACATCGAGAGTCGGAAATGTTCGATACCAAGTAATTTAGATGCAACTAACAGGCGAGATCTCAACGAGACGCGTGGGGGTTCTGTGGGAACCAAGGAGCATCTGCCCGAGTGGCGATCGACCAGCACGCGCGCAAGGGTTGCGACAGCACGAGGCGGCAAATGAGTTTCTCCGTGTTTCTAACCCCGGATAAAGGACCCGACAACAAAAGAAAATAATGCAATAAGAACTACTTTGAATATAGATGCGCCACAATATGCTAGCACCAAAAGGAATACCCGTTGGGTGGTAGAGGAAGGGTTACTGGTCATGAAACACGCGTGAGAGGCGCGGTCACGTGGATATTAGTATTAAGCCAATTTTATCTGATTCGAGTAGTTCCTATAGAAAAAAGATAATTCTTAAATTATTTATATAAAGTTATTAAGATATGAAGCTGGGTAAAGATGGTTGTAAGTGGGCTTGGTGGGTTTGGTGGGCTATACTTCCTAAGTATAACACACCAACTACAAGACTAAAATATACAAGTCAAGAAAACAAAAGAATCAAATTTCAATAATAGTAAGATGCACAGGAACTATAGACCGAAACAATGACTCCACTCCTGACGACAGAGACAAGTTATAACTCAGCGGGAAGTAACAATAAAGATGAGAGAAAGAAGAACAAAAGATAGAACAAAAGAGAAGTGAAAAGAAACTAGAACACCTTTCCTCCATATCTCATCACAGGCGTCAGCTTGGCGAGCGTTTAATACCTCTGCCAGCACTGAGCCACACATCAACTGCCCTAGACGATGGTCACCGTTGAGCTCCTCATATACTCCGGAGTCAAATCACGAATGACCGGTCTGGCCTCCGGAGCCTCAGAAACATGACTAGCCACATGAGCAGCCTCTGGTTTCTCTACAAGGAACGTTAGCATATCAAGCACAAGTCCATTGCCGAGGAGGATCAACTTACTTGGTTCTTTGCCATGCCAGGCCCCCATTATCTTCTTGCAGCCCTCATACTTCGTGCAATCCTTAAACGTGGACTTCCATTTCATCTCGTACTTGGACTTCAAACCAAGGTAGCTAGTAAAATTATTAGTATTTCTTTTTATCATTAGGTGGATCATGGACTTACATGCTGCACCCCAAGCACACCACGAAGACACCGATGATTATCCCGAAGACAAGTTCCATGAGGGAGTATTCCTGCTCCATGTTAACCTCATATTTATTGTCGGTCCGAGGTGAGAGTGTGTTATTAGCAAGGCTTGGGATAGGAGCCATGTCTTTCTAATTCTTTTGATATTTGGGAAAGGTATTGGATGGTATATAGTGATTAATGAAGACTAAGGTTGGAGCTTGATGGAAAATAGATGTAGTTGGATAACTGAAAATCAAGGACAATGGGAATTCACCAGGATAATATAGATAGGACTGCGAGGCTACTAAGCTTCTTGTGGAGTGAAGCTTTGCGAGTTAGGGTTTGGTGTCCGATGATGGAAGAAGAATTAGTTTCTCTACTAAACCACATCCAGCATGAAGAATTCAAATCCTAGATTTACTATTTAGAACTTTCCTGCTTTAGGAACTGTCAGGTGCTCTCATATCAACTTTAACAGTCGGATATTTCTAATTCTGGCATCGGAGCCAACATGACGGAAGTATGGCTCTTGGCGTAGAAAGAAAGTATAGACGAAACGGGAAGAAGAAAGCTTGGGCAAACAGTATTTCATGAAATAGTTTTGATATAATAAACATCCAACATAATGTAGGTACAAGTTTTGGGTCCAAACGCCATTTATGCAAAAGACCCAAGTAGATTAAGACATGTCCAAGAACAAATAGATCACTTGCGCTTCTTGCCGCGTCCACGGCCACCAGAGTCTTCATCCGGGTTCTTGCGCTTCTTGCCCTCCTTGCGCCAGTAATCATTGCGCTCTCTCTTCTCGCGCTCGGCCTTCTTCTCCAGACTATCAGCCACCTTAGCGCGGTAGACCTTGCGGCGCTCCTCCTGCTTGGCGGATCGCTTGGCCTGCTTCTCGTTGCGCATGGTAGTGAGCTTCTGCATGAGGTCACGGGCCTTCTTTTCCTCGCCTCCGAGGACAACCGCACGCTTCTGCATGTAGGTCGGCTCCTTGTGGCCCCTCATCTTGGTGATCTGGGACTTGAAGGGGAGCTCGGCGGCAAGCTGTCTTGGAACACGGAGCGGGTTGAAGTGGCGTTCTTGTCTTTCGATCGGCTTGTATGTTGAGTCTTTGACTTGGGGGGTGGCGATGCCCTGAGCGTGACGGACTTCACCAGTCAAGCGCATGCCTTGCCATCCGCTATCACCCTTTTCACCATCGACTTGGTCCAACAAGTTGGTTACAGGATTGTAGTAGCGGTGCGGCTTGATGGGGTACCAAGCACGCAAGAAGACAATATCACTCATCAAGATCTTGTCCTCGAATGTAGCACGGAAACAGCCATCGGGCTTGGATAGCGCACGCTTGATCTGACCGCGAATGCCAGAGACAGTCTTGATGGATGCACCTTCGAACTTGGCAATTTCCAGCCCAGAGGTGAACATGTCTTTGATGAAGGCGGTGTTTTTGAAGATCTTGTAAGGGTGACCAGTGAGCTTGAGCTTCTTGACAATTTCGGTGTGCTCATCCACGCTTTGAACAACACCAGTGGCGGCAATGCGGAAACCGGGGTTCTTGTTCGAGAACGAGTTCACACATAAGAAACCGGTGTTGGGAGCGACAAGAGGACCCCAGAAAGTAGCGAAGCAGTGCATATGCTCAGGGGTGTACTTGAGCATACGGTTTCGCGTCCGACTGTCGGAGGTGCTGTAAATAGGCATGGTCTGGAAACGGCGCCAACCAAGTGAGAAGATCAACGGATCGTTGGTCTTGAGAATCTTCTTGTGCCAGCGATGTCTCTTGATCCGGATCTGCACGTAGCCGAATCGGTCCTCAGTAGGTGAAAGACCGCCGACAATGACAGGGAAGCGAGGGTTGAACTTGGAGACAAACTCGTAAGGTACGTTCTCGAGGACGATACGTGCGTAGGTACCGGCTTTGTAACCTTCAGCACGGGCGCGCGAGGCAGGGTCGAGTGTCTCAAATTCGGCGCGGTTGATGTCTGCCTGCTTTTGCAGCTTGGCTTTCTGCAGATCGTACCAATCGTCTTCTCCGAACTCGCCATCGATACCATCATGGGTCCCGTCCTGAACCTTTCCAAAGCCTTCGCGATCCTCTTCTTCGAAACGTAGCTTGAGTTCTTCCTTCTTTTTGGCGTTTCGCTCACGCTCGGCTTCCAGATCAGCGGCCGTTTCAGGTTCATCATCGCCTTCCTCTTCCTCGTCGTCATCGCCATCTTCCTTGATGCCGTTGAAAACTTCGCCAGACTCCAAGTCTTCGTAGTCACCGTCACCCTCATCTTCATCCTCGTCCTCGTCCATATCTTCATCCTCATCATCTGAACCACCACCGGATAGTTTGCCAGTGACGAATCGGAGTTTGATCATTTCGAGCAACTCCTCGTCCCGCCATTTCCGCTCCAACTCATCGTAGTCGTACTCTGGAACGGCACGGAAGTCCGCTTGGTCTTTTTTCTCGTTGTTTGTCTTCTTGAAGAAGTCCTCGCCTTCGTCGTCGGCGGTTCTATCTTCCTCGTCCTCATCGTCTGAATCTTCACCGCGCCATGTCTTCACGACATCGAGTGGAGTGATCGACTCGTCGTACATCATTCTTGACAGGTCGGTGACTCGGAAAGGAGGGCGCTTTCCGTGGAGAGACTTAGCGTTGGCGAGCATGTTCTCCTTCCATCGAACATTGCCCTCCTCGTCTTCTTCATCCTCGGCCTCATCCTCATCTTCATCGCCGCTCTCGAGCTCCTGGTCTGATACTGAAGAGATGGAGCCCAGGTCGGAATCACTGTCGGCGAAAGCCATATCTTCTTTCTCCTCGTCGTCATTTCCGTTCTGTTTGGCCTTAAAGCGGGCTCCAAAGTCTGCAGGTGCAGACATCTCGAGCTCACCTTCATCATCCGTCACATCATCCTCGTCCATATCTTCAAGGATCTCCTCTTCGCTATCGGATCCTTCGGGGATAACTAAGTCATCTGGTTCGGGTACGGCCACACGGGCACGGCGTTGATCTTTCCGGCCCGTCTCGTCGTCATCCGCTTTATCGATGGTCTCGCCGCTACGGAAGAGGCGAATACCCTGATCAGCCTCACCCAGCATCTTGCGTTCGCCTTGAAGGCCAACAACAAGGTGCTCGCCAAGACCACGACGTTCCTCATCATCCTCGTCCTCATCCGAGTCCCGATCAAAGGTGTTGGTCTTGATATCGATGTAAACTGCATCCTTGTCGACCAGGACACCACCGACATCGGACATAGGAGCGAAAAGAAGCTTCTGGTGCTCGCCGAGCTTGCGTCTGTTTGACTTTCCTGTTGCTTTAGCAATCTGCTGGTCCATGTAGGGTGTTGGGCATGGATCGGGCAAGCCCTCAATGTTGGCAACTGTCAGATCACCAACACCAGGAACGTGGACTCGGGCACCATGGGAGGGGAAGTTGGTGCCGCGCAAGTAGCCGTAGAGCGCGACTGTGCGATCACATTTCGGGTTCTCCTCGATCTGAGTAGGCGGCGTAATGTCCAAGAAACGATCTGCAAGGGCGTAAGGGTGCGAGTTGCGCCACACGAGCGGACGAGGATTTTTCATGACGGACAAGAATCGGGAAAGGTTGTGCACTTCACGATCGGGGTAGCGGCCGTTGATAACACCGGACAAGTAGAAGAGCTTTGCGCCCGCGTATAGCTCACTCCAGAAACGGTGCTTCAGGCGCTTCTTCGCATCCTTCAAGGTACTGTGTTTCTTGAATTGATCAAGATGGGTGAGAATACCGAAGACGTTACCCGGCATACCAGATGTCTGTAAGGCGTTCAAAAACTCCATGGTCTCCATCTCGAATCCAAAGTTTCCGTCAATCATGAGAAGCACAATATCTGCGATCTTGGAAACATCGATCGCAGCTGCAAGAGAGTCGGACGGGCATTCGATGAAGGTGAGACGCTTGCGCTTGGTCGTAACGACGGTCAACGGGCCTTGCGGTGAGCTGAGGGTTTGCTTGGTGTATCGGCGGATTAGAGACTTGAGCAGAGTGGTCTTGCCAACTCCCGGGGGTCCGACAATTGCAACAACGACAGGCGGGGCCTCCTCTGGCATACGATCCACGAGGGGGACATGGAGTCTCTTTTCTCTGACCTAGAGGAGAAGTCCGGGTTAGCATCAATTGACGAGTAGATATAATCTATATACATACATCATGCGATCGCGCAGCCTGCTTATTGAGCTTTCCAGGTCTGGAAGTGACAAATGCCTTTGGATTAGCACCTGTAAAAGAATGGCATTGTTAGCATGGGCTCGAAAGTAGAAAGTTTGCAGTTTTATCGGAGCGGTCCCATACCCTCAAACTTCTTCTTCTCTTTGGCAGGGCGATGCGCCCTGTTAGCCTGCTGCTCCATACTATCTGTAAAGAGGTATAATACCTCAACAGATCCACTGCTTTTATCAAAAAGAAAGAAAAGGCAAGCGCAATGTAGAGGCCTTTCTCGACGGCTAGAAAATTAGCAGTAAATTATTTTTTTGCCAAAGCGGAGTGGATAAAACCTTAGTCAGGATATCAGAGGACCTTTGCCTAAGGCACCAACATATCTTCCACTTTGGCCTGAGGCAGCTATCGTTATCACCGGCCCGGTTTTTTTAGCTCCACTGAGCCATGAGACATCAGACCCCGCAGCTTGAGCTTTCCTTGAGTCTACCTACGGCACTAGCCTCCGTGCGATAGCGCTATCTCGCACCATTCACCTTTTTAGAAATCGTAGGATGTAATTTCCCTTCACAGCTATCATGTGGGGCAGAGTTGACATCAGGGAAGCCTCCGATTATCCAGAAATATAAAGTACCCCCATATCGTCCCCCGTATTCTATAAATCCAATATCGCTCCGTGTCTACTAAGAACTTTGTGTAACATCCAATTTCTACACAACCCCGCAACCCGTATATAATGTCTGCGCGCCGGCCACCCCCAGCTTATACAGCGCCACCCGATTCGGGGGTTCATGCAACTTCGCAGTTGTACCGGTCAATCTCCGAAACCGCATGCAGCCCCTCTGCACGGATCCCGAAAGAATCATTCACTATCAGACCATGCTCAGCCCAAGCGTGGATTGTCCCTGCCGGCCACATCTGCCGTCTGACGACGCCGAAGGGACCACAGGTGGGCGACCTAAACATCTGGAACGCAGATAACCCCCGAGAACGGATGTGGGCTGCGCGTACCCGACAAATCCACGCTTCCCACGTCTCAGTGGGTGATCGGCTGTGGTCGAACCTGCCGTACCTACGACCCCTCGTAACGATAACGGGTGACTCGTTGGGCGGCGGGCAGTTGCATGAGGTGCTCGGACCAGATGGAAAGCGGAAGCCAGAGGTCGTATTCGGGACTACGCAGTTTGGAGGGCGGGTGCATGATTTGATGGGCACTCGATGTGATCCTTACGTGAACTTGCTTATGGGCGGAGAGACCTTTGACTTTCACTGTCATTCCAACTTGACTCGTTCTGTCATCCCACATGGGCTGACAGAGCTAGATGTCCATGATGTCTTGAATGTATTTCAAGTGACGGGATTAGATGAGGATGGAAAGTACTTCATGGAAACTTCCCCTGCAAGGGCGGGCGAGTACTTTGAGTTCTTTGCAGAAGTGGATGTTCTTTGTGCGCTATCTGCGTGTCCTGGCGGTATGGCAGCTTGATGGTACACGAATGTTTTATTTTTTCATACTAATGATACTTTCAGGTGATTTGTCCAATTGGGGTTGGGATGATAAGGAGGGAGATATGGGAGCCACTTGTCGTCCATTGGGTGTGGAGGTATATCAACTGGCAGATGACAAGGTTCTAGAGGGGTGGAAGGCTCCAGAAAGTCCTAAATACAAAGGGATGCACGGGATGAAGATGCCTCCCCGCCAAGAGGATGGTTACATTGGATTCTAGGGTAAAAATATTTAGTAAAATTATAGAGTCGTCTATTAAAGTGTTGAATACTATGCAAGATATATTGCCCCGCGTTTCTGGATATGATGTCATCGCCTTACATTGTTACATCAACGGCGATTCCCCCCTTTATGCAACAGACTTAGACCGGATTAGAATTATACAGGAAAGAGTCATTTCAGTAAGGGATATATTGGTAAATCCGACTTTTAGAGAGTGGTGTATACTGTAAAAGCCCTATGTCAGACATTGTAAGACCAAAAGTAACACGGGTAAGTCATTTCAAAAATATAGGAATAGTATGACAAGGTGAAAGGGGAGAGAGGAAGGGAACAGAAAAGACAAAGGGTGATTGGAAGGTACCTGCTTCAAGGCGCCTTCCAAGGTTCCCCCAAAATAAAGTGTAGCCTCAACCCCCGCTCTCTCCTATAAATTCTTTCTTTCGATTTCTCTCCCTTTTTTTCTTTCTCAACTTCCACTCTGGTACATCACCATCTGACACCATGCCTCTTTACAACGTGAGTTTAGCTTCATTTCTAAAATTATCCGGACTAACATCTCTCTAGATCACTCTCAAGGCCGACGCTCCCGTCGAAGAGCTAGACAAGTGGGTCACATCACCATTATCACAAGTACCTTGATACTAATATATCGCCTCAGAGCCAAGGATACTGCCAGGGAGAAGGGTGGCGTCATCAGACATGAATACAGCATCATCAAAGGCTTCACGTAAGTGTTGCGAGCTCGATCTATACCAGGCGCATACTGATATATGGATCAATAGTGTCGAGTTCCCTGAAGACACTGTCCAAACCTTCGAATCGACTGAGCATGTCCATGTTGAGCAAGATGGTGCAGTGCAGACTCAGTAGATGTCGCTGGTCAACATGACTAGGACTGAAGACTGCTGTCGCTAATGTTCTACTTTATGGTCTGGATACACGAACGTTGGGGGTTCTTTTCTTTATTTTTTCTTTATTTGTTTATTTTTTTTTGATTCAGCGAGATAACTTGATACCAATTACGCGACATGCTTTCATCCGTGATCCCATATGCATCCTATGAATACCTGACTTTTCCAAAAGAGGTACAGACATGCATACGGATACGGATAGAGCAATTTTCCTGAATCCAACTATCAGGCTGAGTTATGTGCACAGTTAATTTAATTGAATGAGCTCTGTGCAATATCCCGACAGTAGAATATAATACACCTTTCAGTGAAATATAGTAACCCGGGAAGTTTTGATCCCTGTTGATCTGCAATACATATTGGACCGATGATATCCGCACCGCCGATGCAGATCTTCCGTCCCGAGGGTTCACTGTGAACTCCCACTTATCTCTATCTCATAGCAATTCACAATGACAACTTCAATACCTAAAGCTATGCCTTTTCGGCCTGGCTGCCGGACCCTTCCGATTGTGCGGCCTCGCATTCTTCGGCAATCATCCACGCAGAGTGGAAATTGGGCTGGTCGCCCATTTGATGTCGCCAAAGACAATGTCGCGCAGCTGGCTGCGAGTCCCCGTCGACCGTTGACACTTGCAGACCTACTGAAGTCAGTCCTATTTATATATAACTTCCAATAAACTCCAATCAAAATGTGCTAAATTCATGTCAATCCCTCAGACACGGCCGCCCACCATTGAGCAAAGAGGCTCTTCTAGCCTCTGCCAACTTCACTCTCTCCCTCCTCCCCGCCCGACTAGCTTCTCGGATTCAAGCTCTGCGAAACCTTCCTTTCATCGTTGTCTCAAACCCTCATGTCTCCAAAATATACAACAATTACCTCCATTCACTATCGACCCTCATACCATATCAACAGCGCCGCATCACGACTCTCGAAGAAGAGAAGCAGTTTGGGGATGTACTGGCTGACCTTGTACAAACACATACAAATACAATCCCTGTCCTTGCCCGCGGGTTTCTAGAGTGCAGGAAATATGTCAGCCCGGCGGACGTGACGAGCTTCTTGGACACGCATCTACGTGCGCGTATCGGTACCCGCTTGATCGCGGAGCAACATCTAGCTCTTCATTATGCCTCACAGCCCATCAGCGATAACCCATCCGATGACGCTAACGCCCCTGCCACCAATAAATCAATTCCATCAAACTATATAGGTGTCATTGATACGGGGTTACAGCCGGCACGCATCATCCGGCTATGCGAGGATTTCGTTGGAGAGATCTGTGAACTTAAGTACGGAGTGCGACCGCGTTTGAAGATTGGAGGTGAACCCGAGGCCTCATTTGCTCACATCCCTGTCCACATGGAGTACATTATCACGGAGCTATTGAAGAACGCTTTCCGGGCAACCATTGAAAATGGAAATGAGCGTGAGCCCATTGAGGTGACGATTGCTGCTGCTCCAGATGTGCCCGGGAATCAGCCGAAGACCCCAGGTGATGCCGATGCCGACTTTGAGCTTGACTCAGAACTTTCCGCCCGCAATGAGAATGAAACCATTGGGTACTCGGCCCCGTCGTCTCAAAGTATTACAATCCGTATCCGTGACCGTGGTGGTGGTATTCCGCCTGAGGTTTTGCCCCATATCTGGTCTTACAGCTTTACGACTTTTTCCGAATTGGACTATCAAGGCTCAGAGAGCGGCATGGATGCCTTAAACACCATCTCTGCTAGCGGTGGCCAGCTCAGCACTATTGCAGGTCTTGGTTATGGGTTGCCTCTCAGTCGAGCTTACGCGGAGTATTTTGGTGGCAGCATTGCGGTGCAAAGTCTGTGGGGATGGGGGACAGATGTTTATTTAACGCTGCAGGGAGTTGGGAGAATCGATTGAAAAGAACGACAGCACTAGATACCCTGAACAAGATCATCCTTTTTGGCTAGTACAAGCAACTCATGGTCCCTGCAAATAGCTTTGCCTCCTACCATCTTGCCTTGGCCAATGGCTGCATAAACAGATCTATGAAATCCGAGATCAAGGTATCTGGATTTTGAACAGCACCCAATACCCGACCGATCTCTGTTGCAGAGAACATAAGCCCCATATTTTGGAAGAACTTCTCTTGTATCGCAGCTGGTGTTTGGGGATTTCGCGCATGTCCTACAGGATACTCAATCAGTATTTGAGGCAATGAGGACCCATCTGCGAGATGGACCGTCATCCCTGCACCAATACTCCTCTTGTCCAGTTCCAAGTAGTCCTCCGTGAACTTAGGGTCAGACTGCACCACGATCCTTTCTCGCAGGACTTCCAACTCCTCACTATTCGCCCATGGGCTCTCATCTAAATAGTCCGCAGCCTCTGGCGGACTACCCTTCAAAAAAGTCAAGGCAACCACATACTGAATGCAGTGGTCACGATCAGCAGCATTATGCAGCGGCCCATGTTTGTTGACGATCAAAAAGGCAGCAGCAGTCGTTCGCAGATCTATTCGCCGGATCTGTTTGAGAGGATCAGACAGCCCCCTCTGCCGAAATCGACGCGCTTGCAAAACGGCTGCCTCGACAGCCGAGATCGCATGTCCTTCTACGGGCATACTTTTGAACAGCACATTCTGCACCGTCCACGACCCAAATTGTCGTGGAAGTACAAATCCCTCCTCGCCAAAAGTTCGCTCCCAAAACCCCCACGGCTTCGCGCTCAACGCCCCTGCCGAACCAGGCTGGCCATCCTGCACCAGTAGAGCCAGCTGCACAGCTCTTCTCGCCGCATCGCCTGCCGCCCACCCTTTCCTCGGGATGGTATTTGCACCGGATCGATACACCCGGTTCGGGTGGCCATCCATCCAAACATGAGAAATAGTCGCCATGGCTTGTTCATCTGTCATCCCAAGCAACCAACAAACAACAGCAGCCGAAGCCAATTTCACTAGTACCACATGATCAATTCCATAGGCATTGAACGCGTTCCGCATTTGGTAACACCCTTGTATCTCGTACGCCTTGACCAATGCGATGAGCAGCGTCTGGATCGTCAACGGTGGACCATCATGAACCCGTCGACCAGACAAACTTGCACGCGATAGCCAATCCATGACGGGGATTATAGCACCGAGGTTATCTGCAATTCAATCAATATCTTAGCATCATGGGTTCCCACGCCCATGTCTTCAACCATACCTGAAGGATGTCCCCACTCCGCACCACCAAGCGCATCGTTATGATCCAAGTACCGAATCAGGATGCCTAGATCAAAAGCCCCCTTCACGGGATCGACCTGCAATTCCGTTCCTGGAACCCTGAATCCATCCGGCACGACTGTCCCCTCGACCACGGGACCAAGCAGCTTTCGGCACTCGGTGCTTGTCGCTGCTGTCTCGATGGCACAGCCCATTGCATCCAGCAGAGCTGTCCGCGCGCATTTCCAAATCGCTTCGTCATCTTGATTGAGGGAGGAATGGTAGACATAGTTTACTATGTCGACTATTGGTTGGTCGTATGGACGAGGCATATATGTATGTATGATTGTGTTTTAGCGGAGCTTTTGTTTACTTTGTGGCTCTTGAAAAATTGGGGAGATGGAGGTTTCTGATATTTGGCTCAGTGTAGGTACATGTAGAAGTCCTCGGTAGATTTCCTGGAATACTCCGGTCGCACACGGCGGCCTTTGACTCCTTGAATGCCAATATCAAATATTTATTCTTGCTTTTCACATTGGTAGCCTAGTACTTCTAGACACGAACTCCAGCACCAAGTATCTTGTAGGATGACATTCCTATAGGCCATTTATTCGCAGTGCCACTCCACAATATCTCTATACAAAAATGTCCTGCAGTAGAAGCACATAATCAAATGGGTTTCTAAAACCCGCCAACACCTCTCACTCGCTGTACAACTCCAACAACTCCCTTAAACCAACTGAACCGACCCGGCACAGGCCCAATCGAGCCCACCGCAATCTTGTCAGTTTCGGGATCATGCCAGCAGCCATCCTTTGTACTTGCAGCGCCGTATTTGGCAGTATTTTGGTTACGGTTGATCAACTCCGTCCAAGCCCGACAAACAAGCTTGGAATCAATAAGAACATTGACTTCCTGGCTGTGGAAGAATGACTGGGTGTCAAGGTTTCCATTTCCTGCAAAGATTGTTAGATACTTGTATAAGGCACATTTCTCCTGATGTTTGGGGGACTTACCTTGAATCGCAATCTGCTCATCAACGATCATCAACTTAATATGACAGCTCCGCTTCTTGAAGCTGTTATGAATCGGACGAGTCTGGTCCTTGCCGACATAATAGCATATTCGCAGACGAGATTTCTCTTCCTCGGTTTGCAGGGAATTGTACATCCTGTTTGCGGTCATTTCGTTTGTTCCATTTTGGAATGGGAGGAGCTCGCCTGCGTCATTGTAGCCAAGGCAGAGATAGCAGGATACCACGATGCCGCGGCGAACGGCGTTAATGAGAGGTTCTATTAGAGGTTCTGCGTTCATGTTTGGTGTCTGAATGAGGATTGAATTTTGGGCGTTGTTGATTGCGGACAGCCATGCCGTGTTTTGTGGGGTGTAGACGTTGCTATGGTTTGGGGCTGGAAGATTGAGAGTTAGAATCATAGTCGGTCGTCTGAAGGAGGTTCTCTTCGCAGTTTGGACTTACACCCATATGGTTCCCTGTTTACCACTGCCATTGCGAAGGGCTCGTGGTGAGGTAGGATCATATAAGGGTTGAACATGTTATCCTGGTCAATTTCTGGTGCATCACCTGTTGTGTCAGGTTGGATAGTTGTATCTGCTCATCTGTTAGTGATTATCATGAATAGTGAGCATCTTTCACTTACTAAGATGGCGGCTGACAGCCTGTGTGCGCGTTTCGCCGCCTTGTGGGTGAATACAACCGTTGACTCTCCGAGCTTCTTGTTCAAAGTACCTATCATAATGTGGAGATTTGGTAGTATGTTCAGGAAGAGCTATATCCCCATTCTCTATAGAACTACCACTATTCCTTGCTTCGTGGCATGGTATCAGAGCATCCCTGGCTGGAGAGTTCAGAAGTGGAAACGGAGGGTCGAGAACCTTTCCCCACGACAGCAAAGCAGTATCATAGAAAGAATCAACAATCGGCCCCTCGATATGAGCTAGCATCTCAAGGTTATCGTTGTCTTGAATATTGCTGCTTTGTATGATAGCCATTCGCCTGTCAATAACAGTGAATTTTGCATGGAAAGTTCCAAAGACAGGCCGGTGGAAGTTGATGACTTGGAGGTCAACATTAGGGATCTCGCTTGCAGGAGGTAGCCTCACTTTTCCAGCGATATATTGTTCTTCGCGGACACGCAATCTATTTTCCCATGCCTAGTGATTCATTAGAACCATGCCTACAGATTGTGTTCGATATGCACCAGAAGAGCACTCACCTGGCGAGGATCTCCGCGATCATATATCATCTTCATCACTATTTTCTGGCCCCTTTCTCCTGCTCGTTTGGATAGCTCTCGGATGGCATTTGTCACTAATGTCGATGCGTCCGAGTAGATCCAGAAATTGGTCCCCAAAAAGACTTCATGTTCAGCATGCACGATACAGTTCGCTAAATGGCGACAGAGATCAGGTAAAGGGCCGACAATTGTCAGTGGTAGAACTCCTGTGCTCCCCATCAGCCGGGGCGATACAACGCCAGACATTGGGTTTTCTTCCAAGCAACATAAGGCGTCATGATAGACCTGGTGAGCGAGTGTTAGATTCTTCTCTCCCAATACCGATCTAGAAAATTGATTCACCTTCAGGAATAGATCACTCGTTTCCACAGACCCGAAGTTCCCACAAGCGCGAGCTTTCTGCAATTCATTCATTGTTTCCCACTCCGATGCTTTGTTGACATCTGATATTTCCAAGTCAACGCCATCATATTTATGCGACGCATGATGGCTCTCGAACAACTCATGAAAGACCTCCTGTGGACATTGCGATGGGTCACGGGCCAACTCTGAGGTCACAGTATGCCGCTGGCACATATTATATACCTTGCGTGATACCATATTGTACTGAACTCGATGTGAATTTAGTGGTTGATCAAAATAATTACAAAGAAGGAAGGTGTGGCTTGACAAACTCAATATTATTTCTCCATGACTATGACGTAGAACACTTGGCAAGCTTCTTAGAATTCTGAGAGGCTTCAAGAAACAAATAGATATTCAAAATGGAGAAGAATTGTGATGCCTAAATATTTTGCCTTGGGCTTAATGCCCAGAATTATCTAACTTGATATTCAGCCCTATGACGTCGAATACTCCACAGAATCAATAGTTTATTGTTCTTGTTGGATTAGAAGATGCGCTTGGATATATCAGTATAAAGCTTCAAATACTAAGATAATTGTATTATTAAAGAGATTAAATGCGGTATACACAAAACATTAACAAACTATACATAAAACCCCGAACCGAAGGCCCACCTGTTTGTGTTGCCATCCGCATATACCTGCCAACACATATATACATTCTTTTCCGCACATGATTGTTCAAATCCAGGGTAAAAGAAAACACAATCACGAAACAGTGACTATTGTCTCCTCAGCGTATGAAATTTCTGAGCTCCTCAATTGCATCCCTTTAGTCCCAAAGCCCGTCAATTGTACACTTCTCTGTTGAGATTTCTCCAATCTGAACTCAGGTTGCAAGTCTCTAGCTTTGACCTTAGTATCTTCGGGTTCGATGACTTGGGGTTCAGTGACTTGGGGTACTTCGATCCCAAGCTTAATACCTCGAGCTCCCCAGATAGACCGGCGGGGTGTCTTAATCCCGGTCTTCAAATATATATCTAGTTCGTCGACATAATCGTATGCAGCCTCGCCGGTGATGGCCAACCTCTCATAAGAGTCAAGTCCTCCTAGACGCCACTCGGGCAAGGGCTTGCGCGAATTTCCCAGGTCATAGACATAACCAGGACGGCCATTCTCATCAACCACCTTCCGACGCTCAAACTTAACACCGCGTCCAATTGGCGTGTAATCCTTGATTTGCTGTTCCCTGAATCCCACCACTGGGTGAATAAACTCAAAGCTCTCGCCCAGTAGATTTCCGGCTTTGTCGAAACGATCATAGCTTCCAGGTGTGCGCCTCTTCGACCCGTTAAGGTAGTAAAATGCTGTAAAGCTGTCTTCCAGTGGGCCTGTTCCCCAGCCATAACTGCGTCTCTTCTCCACGGACTTGACGGATGCGGTGGAGGTACGTTTGAAAGCTGACGCTATGGCTGCTGCTTTGCTTTTAGCCCAACCCAGGACCTCTGTGTTTTCGATGAGCGTTGACATGTGGTATTCACTCTCTTCTCTTTCCTCGGAGATAGACTCCTCGTTGAGCGAGAGGTAGGGTTTGATCTGGTCCAGCATCCAGCAGAAGGTGATATGAGACATTTCTTCCATGTTACCCTCATCTTGGAGTGTTTCACTCGAGCCTCCGCCGATGTTAATATGATAACCGGGGAACCACACTTGTTTCAATGTTCGAGGGTGCTTCTGGTGCTTGTAGTCATCTTCCAACTTAATGAGCTTTCGGGTCTCCTTGTTCAAGTCTCTGGCAGTCTCATTTAACTTTCGCGCTGCGTTATTGACATCCTCATCACTAGCCCTGCCGCTACCCTTGAGGCTGATTGCGTCTTGTAAGATGTCATCCCATTCCTGAGCTTTCTGATCCACTATACCCTTCTGAACTTGTATCTGCTCTGAAGTGACATTTTGAAATTTGTGAAGATACCACAGAGTAGGCGAAAATGCGTTGCGGTGTTCATCGAGAGCCAAAGCCTGGAATGCATGTTTGACATCTGGGACCATTTGTCAGTATTTTTCACTCATAAAAAGGCCACACGGAAAAGAAAAAAAAAAAAAAAACGAGAGGATTTGTATACATACTAGGTGAAAGTCCAACATTTTCCCACCCATCCCTATGGGGCGACCACCACAAGAGCCACGATGGCAGCTTCACCCCTAACACCTCCGGCATTCCAATAGCGCCAACAGTATCAAAGACGCCAACAACCTCCACATCCCTCGATCCCTCCTGAGCCCAATCGCCCTGGGGCCGCTTTTCAAAAACAAAACTCTCACCCCGAGCGCCCTGCTTCTCATCCGCCTTTCCTTCCATCCACTCGAACCAGAGGTCGCTGCAATAGAACCGCTCGCCGGGCTTATTTTTCTTATAGACCTTCCAGAGATCGGGAAACCGGTTCAAATCCTGTTTCCGGCAAATCCCAATATCCGAGATCAAACCGGCAATAGCACGGGCTGTAAATGCACCTCTCGAGAAACCAAAGCACATAATCTGATCGCCGGGTCTGTAGTTCAGGACACAGAAGTTATACGCTTCGACGACATTGCCTTCCAGACCTAGACCAGTGGCGCCTTCGATACTTTTGCCCAAAGGACCTGAGGTTGTGCCGATTCCGGAATCATACCAGACTATTTGCTGCCATTTATCTCCTTCTTCGTCGGTTCCGACACTGTTGAGAGCGCGGCACAGACGTGTTACGTTAGATGGGACGTTTTTCTCCCCTGAGACGGCGGATTGCCATGTTCCGTCGCAGCAGATGATGATGCGCTTGCGGACGGGCAAGGCCATCGAATCCGTTCTTTGTCGGAGTACATATGGTGGCTCGTGATTATCAGTGCATAAAGACATTGTGAAAATAGGTGAAGTTCAATGTACTGTGGGATTTGAAAAAAGTCTTGAAGGTGGGTGTATGGCTCTATATATATTTTGTTTACACCGTCTATCTTATTAGTGTTTATGCACGAATAGGGTTTATTTCGCTTTGAATCATCGATCTTGTCGACTTGCATGAAGCCTCCCGCCGTAATACGGCCCCCCCGGCCGTGGGAAGCCTAACGCAATTTCGAGTCACACAGTTGCTGCATTGTTCGTGTTTTTTTTTCAGCCGCTGCAGGGATTCGGTTCACGGGGTCAGCTTACTATACAGCATAGCCAATAATCACTCGGGCATCAATGCCCTAGTTGCATTAGCCCCACATGCTCAGCCTTATCTTCAGGGTGTCAATCATCAGAGGGCTGTAACTTTTGGAGGGCATAGATAAAAATAGTGGATTTTCAAGAATGCATGTGCTAAAACCGGGGTGACTTTGTGGATTTGGTGGTCAGGGGGGGACGGGAGGGCTGAAGCCCAGAAGGCGCCGAGGTCAGCCCTAGGGGGCTATGTAGTTTATATGAATGCACTAAAACGCCCGAGGGCTAAATAGATCAATAATCCTTGTACATAGTGAAATTTTCTATTTATTCCCCTCTGACACTGTTTGTACAAAGGTCTTCTGTATCGTGACATGATTTGGTGACATCGGCTCAGGGTACAAGGCTTCCTGGCTGCTGTTGCTAATACTGAGTTTATTTCTCCGCTGCGATGAGGCTGCGACAACTGTACTCTGGTGGCCATCGGGGTCGACATCAGGGCGCCAGTATTTCGTGTTTTGCGATCCTCTTATAGCCTCACTTTGCAAGCTGGACAGTCGGTATGGCTTTGAATATTTTCCTTGATGAGGTGACTTGTGATTACGAGTCGAATGCTCATCCAAGAGCCAGCGGAATAGAGGTCGGAGAGTGATGAGACTGCCTGCTATAATTCCGAGTCCTGTTTCAATGACTGACCAGATAGCGATTTGGTAGGTAGAGTCTAGAGGATGTTAGACCTTGTTCTTGCGGTAAAGAGGTTAGCGACATACAAAGGAAATTATCATCGGAATAAAATCGCAAAAACGGAAGTCGGCATATCACTGCCACGCCCGCACTGTTTATGGTTAGCAATGATTCATCTCTTAGAATAGCTGGGCCGAAATAGCACGTACATTGCCCCTAACCCGAGGATTCCCCCTACTGCAAGCTTCGTCCGGCTATTCATTTGCAGTTTCCAGACGAGGAAGGCGGGTAACAGGCCAAGTGCTATATCGCAAAATATAGTCACAGAGCTGTAAAAATAAGCGATAGCCACAAGTGTGGACATGGGAAGACATGTTCCCGTGCTGGTTCCATCCACTCGTTCCCAGAAGTGGGCGATTGGATTACAAGCAAAGAGTAGAACAAGCCAGAACATAAGTCCGATAGCAGTGACAACACCAATAATGCTCCAAAGTATCGCTCGGTAAGACTTTTCGACGGCCAACCGGAGGAGCGCAACGGAAATTGATATTTTGGCTACCGCCGAGGCCCATATGTAGAGCATTTGACCGAGCCACCACCACTATAGAATATGGTTAGCAAGGAAGTCTTCCAATATGAGTATCACATACCACAAGTGCTTTCTTATAAACCTCCATACTCGTAAAATCTGTTCGCGTGTGTCCTACTCCATGCATTGCTCCATTTACGCAGCAGACATCCAAAAGGATAAACAGAATCTATCAAAAAATTAGAATCTTATCAGATCATGTCACATCATACGAGTTGGGGCCACTATACCAACGCAGCGACCATCAAAATATCATCCCAGCCAAATGCCCGAAGGATATTCAGTCGAACAAAACTTCGTAACAAAACTGTCACAATGGCGATAGACATCATCACAACTGAAACGGTGAAGATAGCGAGACTTCGGCCCACGAGGGGCATCGAGGCTCCCATCTTGACGCCTAAGTTTTACTAAAAGGCCCAGTCACTCATTCATCGCCCAATTCAAATTTTCACAACACCTGAAGCGAGTAAAGATTTGTTCGAAAAGCTACCGCCAAGGAAGAAAAAAGCAAAAAGAACAAAAATGAAGAAAAATCATCCGAGCCAGACGGTGTATATGGGATCCAGACTACATATACTTTTAAAATTGGAAAATCCCCGGATACTCCGTAGCGAAGGATCCATCGCCAGGGTTAGTGTGTTTTATGAAATAGTTCGCAGCGCCTCAGCGCCTTGATCGATTGAGAGGAACCATAGGCGATTATAGCGGCATAGGGGCGTGTTGCGCAGGTGTGTAGCCCCCCACATCCTAGCCCTGTTTGAAACAAAAGCCGTGCGCCATGGCATGCATTTGACACCAAATCAATCTGCCGAGCTTCCTTGATTATGAATACTGGAGATTTCGAGAAGCTATTGACCAATGATAATTGATGTGGCTGTCCCTGATCTATTCAACTAGTGAAATCAGGGAGTGTTTGCCGAGATCGCGTCTGGGCAATCTAAAGCGGGTTCGGATTCACTCGGTAGATCTTGTGGTTTCAAAAAGGGGCGTTTGGCTTCAAACAATAGGTTATGCATATTTCCGGATGTCTCGGCAGTTGGAATTTGTACAATGTCGTCACTATAGGATAATTAATCCTACAAGAAAGCAATATAGCACAATATATTATGATGAGACCCCTGAGTTAACGTCCCACTATATTATATATACGATGGAACTACCGAGACCCGTACCCACTGCTGTATTGGGAAAAGTGTACTCCGTATGTACTCCGTAGGCTGGGAGGAGGACTGGCTTTCGGTAAATTTTATTGTGGATTGCTCAATACAACGATATAGGCTGATTTACAAAATCCAATTTACAAATATAACGGACGGACCCTCTTGTGTCCATAGCTAAAGTGATATCACAGAACTAGACCAAACGCTTATTCTGAGGGGGTTTTCCAATTTGGGCCTAGAAATAATCTCCGAAAAGCCGATTTTTCTACGGTTTCTAGTTATAGATCTCATGTTGGGCCGAACTTTCCTCGCTCTACTGATGTGCTAGAACTTCTTCGAGTATGACATTTTATATACATAGAGGTAGGTTCTGCCCATGTGGACATGTGCAGGGATTAGACCGAATATGATATCTAGTTCGGAGACTGCTTCCCGACATACAACATAAGCATCATCAACCGCGGTCCAAAGAATAGCCATAGTTATTGGTTCAGGCAGAGGAAAATTTCTCAGGCAGTTCGGAGATGATCCTTTCGAATAAGATATAACCGAAAAATATATATGTATTGCTTTCTAGAGGCAGTCGTCGTTCGTTCGGCGCCCCCCGCCCTCGGAGTTGTGGCCGAGATCCCAATTCAAGGCTTCACAGATCCTGAGCTTTATCAGCAATGAACTTCCCCTCTCTTCTCGGTTTTACTATTCCAATATCGATATTTACAGACTCGAGACGCATCCTTTTTGCTATTCAACTTTTATAGTATCATAGAGCGCAGCTATGTATGGGCTCCCTCTATACAAACATTCCCGGATGCTCTTTTTGCTCACACAACACAAGGGTTTATACAGCATCTTTTGCTTTCTTCGAAGCGCTCTGGGAGGTATGTACTACATATGCAGTAGCAGCTGAATCAAGTCTGACCTTGACAACCTAGGGCGGCGTCAGCCATGTCTTTGTCAATTTGGGATCAGATCACCCCTCCATCCTCGAGGCAATGGTGAAGGGCCAGAAAGAAAAGAAAGACCAGTTCCCTACAATCATTACCTGTCCCAATGAGGTACGTTAAGAAATGCATCATGCGACTCACCAAGCATAGCGACAGCACTTCGGTTAGAGTCGGCAGTATAGATGAGAGCTTTACTTACGATAAAAATGTGATTAGATGGTGGCATTGTCCATGGCCGACGGCTACGCCCGATTGACCGGAAAGCCGCAGGCAGTAATCGTCCACGTTGATGTCGGCACACAGGGACTCGGAGCAGCCGTTCACAACGCTTCATGCGGACGCGCCCCGGTTTTAATCTTTGCCGGTCTCTCGCCTTACACAATCGAAGGCGAGATGCGAGGTTCGCGCACGGAATATATCCACTGGATCCAAGATGTGCCGGATCAAAAGCAAATCGTCTCCCAGTACTGTCGGTACACTGGCGAGATCAAGTCTGGAAAGAACGTTAAGCAGATTGTCAACCGCGCTTTGCAATGGGCAACTAGTGACCCGCAGGGTCCTGTGTACCTCACTGGTGCCCGAGAGGTCATGGAGGAGGATATCGAGCCCTACCAGCTGAACCAGGCTGTCTGGGGTCCTGTGGAACCGGCTGCTCTGCCAACCTCCGGTGTTGAGCTGATCGCATCTGAGCTTGCGGCGGCAAAGAGCCCTCTTATTATTACGGGATATTCTGGGAGAAAATCCCAAGCTGTGACTGAGCTGGTCGCATTGGCGGATAGCTTCAAGGGAATCCGTGTGCTGGACACTGGTGGTAGTGACATGTGCTTCCCTGCTAACCACCCTGGATGGCTGGGATTGAGATATCCAGGTCATGACGCGGTGGGAGCATCTGATCTGATCCTTGTGATAGATTGTGATGTTCCTTGGGTACCTACTCAGTTCAAGCCGTCTGCGTCAGCTAAGATTATCCACATTGATGTCGACCCTTTAAAGCAACAGATTCCAGTTTTCTACATTCACTCGATGGCTACCTTCCGTGCCGATGCTTCCACGGCGCTCAAACAGATCAACGATTACGTTGCTTCTCAGGAGTCTCTGCAGCAATTCATTGGTTCCAAGGAGAATATCACTATGGGTCAATGCCGAGACGAGGAGTATTCAAGGCGTCGACAAGAGATCTCCGATCTGGCCGTGGTCCCGGAGGGCGGGGGCGGAGCCTCCTTGAATATCAACTATCTCATGGCGCAGGTCCGCCAGGGTGTTCCAATCGATACCCTCTGGGCTATTGAGGCTGTGACCATGAGCCACTTTGTTGCTGATCAAGTATCAGCTACCCAACCCCAGTCATGGATCAACTGTGGAGGTGGTGGTCTCGGCTGGTCTGGCGGTGGTGCACTTGGCATTAAGCTTGCCAGTGACATGGAGAATGGAGGCCGTGGAAAGGGAAAGTTCGTCTGTCAAGTTGTTGGTGATGGAACATTCCTCTTCTCAGTGCCTGGGTCTGTGTACTGGATCGCCCGCCGATATGGAATCCCCATTCTGACAATCGTGCTGAATAACAAGGGCTGGAATGCCCCCCGGCGAAGCATGTTACTCGTTCACCCTGAGGGTGATGGCTCCCGTGCTACAAACGAAGAGCTCAACATTTCGTTTGCGCCTACGCCGGATTATGCGGGTATTGCCAAGGCCGCGGCAGGTGGTGAGCTGTGGGCTGGTCGTGCCTCGACTGTTGCTGAGCTTGCCCAGAAGCTTCCGGAAGCTATACAGAGTGTTCTGAATGGAAAGGCAGCGGTGCTGGAAGCTCAACTTGACGGTACTACAGGCAAATATGTGGAGAGCTCTTGAGGGCATGCAATTCGGAGAGTATGCGAGGTAATTGTGGAGTACTTAGAAATTTAAGTGAATCAAAAGTACTTGTTCCTTTGTTTCAAATACACACCTGGGAGCCAACCCTACGCCAGGTCTCTTTGGGGCCATGCCTTCCGCAACCTTATGCGTCACTTGCCTTCGGCATATAACCCGAAGGAGAAATAGTTGATATCGGGGTTTGTCAAAAGGTAAACCAGTCACTTAGATTGCTACATAAATGTCGTAACTCCCTGGTCCATACTGCCTGGAAGGTTACATTGGCTATGTAGATATAGTCATAAGCAACTTTCTCATTTTAGAATGATTGTATGTGAGTTTGGACTTTATAGACAAATCTAACCTCGATATATTCGCCAGTTGTATGTATTTGAAATCAATCGGGTCGACCGGTCCGGTTAACTGACCGGTTATCTTTTCCCCTTCGGTATTTTCTCCATATCAAAATGGATTGTGAAATGTTTTTATGGCTTTTATTTTATTTTATTCAAGCTATTAGTATAGATATACAAAAAGCGGATATATATTTATGATGCCAGTGCATACAATAGGGATATGTTGTATGCAAAGTACTTTGAAAATAATTAAACTCATCAATGATGTACTTCGTTATCTGATGAAATGAGTCATGTGGTTCGGAGAAAGATCTCGGGATGGAGAGATATCGAGTTCCGCTCCGCTTTCGCCGAGTTGACCTTTTGTGACTTCAATTTCTCCAGTTTCTTTCTTATATAGTCTGCTCTATCACTCACGGACACAGGCAAATACTACGAATCTGATATACCACCTCTCCGCACAACCCCCGCATACCCCTCCGATTTCGCACTTCGCACACCGCCAACGCAATCACAATGAGTCCACCCTCATCCGTAGATGTCAACCTGGTGGCCGTCACCGATACATCGGCTGTCCCTATCCCGGATCCATTGACCGTCAATGGCGTGCCGGCATGGAGAGAGAAGACGGCCAAGATCCCCACCGGCGTGGCCGCGGCATCCAACAGTGATATGTTTAAGAGCCCGGTATGATAATTCTAGATTGGGCATAGGCAAGGATATGGACCAAAGGACTCAATTGCAAGATGCAGAATACTAATATATGTCTGGGGTTATTAGATCTGCTATACCAAGCCTAAGGCTAAGCAGTTTGAGCGTATGTATACCGTTACCCTTTCCGAATCTATAGTTCGCACAATTATTCCTCTTATACTCACTTTTGTTCTCAGACCACTTTTCAATCGAAGCCAAGTCTCGCAAGGTTCGCACTTAATTGCGCAATGTGAAGCCCACTCTTGCTAATCCAACCTTAGGCGTCCACTTTGAAGACCGCCGCTCGTTATCTGAAAACCCCAGGTAATACTTCCCAATATTTTCTTTTTTTGGATTCATGGTCTAATTGTGCTTTCAAGGTCTTATTTCC